TATCTCTATCTATCTCTATCTATCTCTATCTATCTCTATCTATCTCTATCTATCTCTATCTATCTCTATCTATCTCTATCTATCTCTATCTATCTATCTATCTCTCTCTCTCTCTATCTCTCTATCTGATATATCTTTTCTCAAAATTTGATTTGTGTTATATGATATGTGAGATATGTATATACATTCATATTGATATGTCATAATACATGAATATGAATGTTAATATATGTTCAAACATCGCTTAGTTTTCACAATCTTGAGAAGTTCATCCAACTTTAAGGCCAGTCTTTGCCCATTTCGAGGCTTCGGCTGCTGCAGCTCTTCTTGGAATGACAAAAGCAGAAGACTTTCTCCCTGAGTTGACAAAGCACCTTGGATCCAAAGCATAGTGAACGATCAAGATTCGCATGGCCTTGCAATGGTGTTTGGAATCCACTCTTGAATTTTTGGGCAGTGTAAATTACTGCCTGAAAATTAGCCTTGTCGTGAATGCAAGCGAGAACCCTTGGTCATTTGCAGTTTTTTTTTAATTTTTCTGGATGTTTTCATTCCAATGTCATCCTCAACTCGGAGTGCTTCAAGGCTTTTGGGCGACCCCGACGCAGCGCTGCGCTACAGCGTTGCCCGCACCATGCGTCACCTTGCAGCATCCCTAGCTGCGCAGAAAGCAGCTTTGGGGGCGCTGCTGAAAGGTGCGGGCCATGTTCCACGTCGCGTTGCGTGAGGAGCAGAGTAGGTTTGAGTTGAAAGAAAAGAATGGTTTGAGAACGCTTTGATTGATGTTATTTGAATCGGTCTTCAAACATTTCAAGTTTTGGGCTAGAATTTCTTGAGCCTGTGGATTTAATGTCTCACAATTTCATCGTTTGGCAGTTGAGCAGTATAGTTGTGCCGTTGTGCCATGTGATTTGATTGTTGTTCCCCACATCTTTGTGTGGGGTTCTTGTTTTTGATTCTGTATCCCGGGCTCCTCCTCCGCCTTCTCCTCCTCCGCCCTCCTCCAAAACTTTGTCCACACACACTTTATCAACAAACACTTTGTCCAAAACACTTTGTCCACACACACTTTGTCACCACACACTTTGTCCACACACGCTTTATCAACATACACTCTTTGTCCACACACACTTTGTCACCACACACTTTGTCCACAAACACTTTGTCCACAAACACTTTGTCCACAAACACTTTGTCCACACACGCTTTATCAACATACACTTTGTCACCACAACACACACACACAACACACACGCACACACACACACACCAACAGACACAACACACAACAACACACACACACACAACACGCACACACACACACACCAACAGACACAACACACAACAACACACACACAACAACACAACAACACAACAACACACACACACACGCGCGCAAAAGACACTTGGTGACATTCACACACACACACAAGCCCCTTTGCCGCCACGAGCGTGGCACTCAAACTGCTGTCATCAGAGACAGTCGGGCCTGCCCCTAGTTTCTCTAGACCCGGTTTGTCGTTGCTGTTTTACTTCTCCCGCCATTTGGATCTTGTTGCTTCCTCCGCTGTTCTGTTCCTGATTGAGACTTGCATTTCCTGGGGTACAGCTTGGACATTGGACATCGAATTGCACGAGGCTTGCCTGTCATTCCATTGCCTTTGCCCTCCTGTTCATGCTCTGGTTGATCCTGCATCTCATTCTTTTAGGGTACAGCCTTCTGGTACATCATTTGCTGGCTTTCTGCGGTGGGGCCCCTATTCATTTTACACCGAGTTTTTCAATTTTTGCGGCGGAACAAATTAGCTCAGTACATTGCTGCCTACATACAGTGGATCATCCTGCAACCTCTGCGTTTTCTGACATTGCAGACAGGGTCTTCCATTTGGCGGAACCTGATCCAACATTCTTTATCTGTAGACCCAGGTGGCAGCAGTGGAGTCAAATTTTTGTCCTCAACTTTGGACAACGCTCGTTGGCAGGCAGTCCCGGTCCCAAGTCCGGGCGTCACCAGCTGCTTCCCCAGGGACTTGATCTCTCCCTGACATTGTGTGCACTTGCCTTTACTGGTGACGGGGGTGAGGGTTGCAGTCGTACCATGGCGACTGCTGAAGCACCACTTCCTTATTGGATTCATGATCTACCAACAGAGGGTGCGAAGCAACATGGACCGCGGCCCCAAGCAAACTCAGAATTTCTGAGCTGGTCTTCCACCACATCATCAATTAAGAAAAGAAGTATCAGGAGAGCCTTTAGGCGTGCCTGTCGAGATGGAGTATGTTGGTACAAAGGGCGAAGCTATACACCTCTTGATTTTCCTCAGCAATTACAAGGCACTCAGCCCTTACAACATCGACCGCTGAAACCTTCAGGTGAGTATGATCTGACAAGATACAATCGAAAACACTGCAACAAGCGACGAGCCAATTTTGTCACTTGGAACGTTGCAGGACTCTCTCAATCTAAGCTGGACGAGGTCAGACATTGGGCATTGACACAAAACATCACAGCTCTGGCGTTGGTGGAGACAAGATGGCCATGGACCAGTGAGTGGCAGGATCCACACTGGCAGTACGTCCACTCCGGCGATCCTTCGTCGCGTAGCAGTGGCATTCTCATCATGATAAGTCGCACAATCAGCACAGATTTACGTTGGCGAGAATGTCTGCCAGGCAGACTGGTTCACGTCCAACTGCGTCTGTCCCCGCGCTACTTGGACTTCTTGGCCTGCTACCAATTCTGTTTTCAGAGTAATGCCATGCGCCAAGCAGATCGACAAAGATGGTGGGAATGTCTGGAAACCACCCTGAGCCGTCTTCCCCGACGACATGTTCTTGCCATTGTGGGAGACTTCAACTGCTCTCTCACGCGCCAGACTCACCACATAGGACACATGGGATATCACTGGCAGGGAGAAACTCATCAGGGTCCCACCCATGGCGATTCTGATACTTTCTTACATATCATACGTACATATGACCTTAACGTCCTCAATTCCTGGCAACCATCGTTGGGACCTACCTACATAGGTCAGCAAGGTCATAGCCGTATTGATTTTTGTTTGACTCGTCATCACATGGCAGATGGATGCTCCCGTGCTGTCAAGTATCTCTGGAATGCCCCTTTTAAGTCATCATTACAGGATCACTGTCCAATCTTTTTTCAACTTAATAGATACTGGATACCGGCACCACTGACCACCACTCAAACAGGATGTACCTTCCAGCAACGCGTGCAATGCCGCACGGCATACCTGGAAGATTCAGGACTTTGGCAGGACTTCCTGCACAAGTCCATGCATACTGTTTCTGATCATTTGCGCCAGTCAGATCCTCATGACACTGAGCTTATCCCGACTTTGCATGCTGCAGTTCTCCAGGATTTACAACAATTTTTTCCCCCTGTTTCACCATCCCAATCAGCGGTTTGGAAATCCACCGCCAATACTATCACTTGTAAGTGGCACTACCGAAATCATTTTTTGCGATTGGCCGGTTGCATGCATCAAGGTTTTCTTGATCTCCAGATTTTTCTACGGTTTTGGCATCATGTTTCCAGGTTCACAGCGTTGTCCAGACTCCAGAAACGGCACTCTCGTGCAGTGCGCAAATCACGGTTTGCTGAAGTGATTGCCCTAGCTCAAACTGCGGCAGATAGGCACAACACATTTCAGTTATTTCAACTGATAAACCGTTTTGCCCCGAAGCAGCCACGACGCAGAATGCAACTGCGTAATTCTCAAGGACAACTTGCCACTGCAGTAGAAGAACATTCTATTTTGTGCCATTTTGTCACAGAAGTTTGGTCAGGACAACCCACACAACATCAACATCCGGATGTGATTGCAGGTACTCCTTTCACTGAAGCTGATGTGAGACATGCGCTCGAAACCATCCCTATTTCAAAAGCTGTTGCCCCAGGATTTGCTCCGGGCGCTGTTTGGAGAGCCCTTGCTGATTGCCTAGCCCCTAGGTTGTTTTCCCTCCTCCAATGTTGGTGGTTTCAAGCCTCCCCATTCATCCCCGCCAGCTGGCGTAATGGGTGGTTGTGCTGGCTGCCAAAACCGGGAAAACCTCCCACTTTGCCTGCCTCATTGAGGCCCATAGCCCTCCAAGAACCGGTAGGTAAGGCTATCATGGGAGTTCTCAGTAGGGTAGGCCAATCTGACTCACTTGATTACATGATTCAATGGCCTCTTTGGGCTTATCTCCCCCATAGATCGACCTTAGATTCATTGCTTCGAGTGGCTCAACACTGTCAGGTTGGTAGGACTCTGATTCAATCTCAACGTTCTACACCATTCACTAGGGCCTCCCAACAAATTCGACATGAAGTCTGTGGCGCAGCTCAACTGCTGGTGGACATGAGCCGAGCTTTCGACTCCATTGATCGTAATCGTTTATTTTCCAGGTTGCATGAAATTGGAGTACGTAAGGAACTTGTCAACATTTTGACATCATGGCACAGTGACACCAGCTATGCTGTCCGAACCGGACCACACCTTGACATGGTTCCAGTGGAACGTGGCCTCAGACAAGGCTGTAAAGCAGCCCCATGGTTATGGAACTCCATTCTGGCCTTAATTTTGACTGACCTCTCCGGCCTTATAGACCGCAACTGGCTCTGTGATCACACCAATTTGTACGCCGACGACATTCATGCAGGTGATACCTTCAGTTCAGAGACTGCATTGATGACTCTCCTTCGCAATTTTGCCATGATTCTTTCCATGTTGCGCTCTTATGGGCTTCAGATTAATGAGCACAAATCGATGATTTTACTCACCATGACAGGACCATCACTATCACAGGTCAGAAAAAAGATTTTGGTCAGACGCGACGGCGGTGATCATCTGGTTCTTTCTTTTGGTGACCAAACGTTCACCATTCCTGTGGCTCATAGTGCAAAATATCTGGGCGTCGTGATCAGCTATGGCAATTTGGAAGATCAAACAGTTCGACACCGCATTCAACTTGCCACTGTTGCTTTTAAACGACTTCTGGTTTGGCTCACAGGTCGCAGAGGCCTTGCAATGAAAGACAAACTTCAACTCTGGACCACATGCGTTTTGCCTATAGCCACTTATGGCATTTTCAGCATTGGGATCACTGCCAAAGGTGTCAAACTACTTAATACCACCATCACCCTGATGCTGCGCAAGATCTTGATGGACCACTCATATATTACAAGACACAGCAACAAACAAGTTTTTCGTCTGCATGACATCGATCCTCCATGTATTGTGCTTTGGAACTCTGCTGAGCGCTTGAAGCGGTCAGTCACTCAGAGATGCCTGCGTTTACACCAACATGATCTTGTACAACAACTGGACTGGGCGCATCTTCATGACATCCAATCATTGCTGTTAGAGATGCATGAGGCAGGGCTCCAGACACAGCCTTTGACTTCTACAGTTGAGGCCGCAGAGCACCTGCATTGTTTTCAATGTGCTTTTCGCACCAGGGATGCCACCATATTGCGACAACACTATGCCACCGTACATGGACATCGCATGTTTAGGACCAGTTTTGTCACACCATCAGATCACATGTTGCATGGTCTTCCACAATGCAAACATTGCCTAGTTTCTTTCACTACGTGGAGAAGATTTGTCACTCACATTGAGCGCGGTTGCCAGGTTCTTCGAACTCATCCGGAACAGGGAGGTAGGGTTGGACCCACTGCCCAGATGCCACTGCTCCCAACCAGATTGGTCAATGCCCGCTCTGATGCGGCAATGCGTGGCCAAACACAGCTTGGAGTGACCGATCTGCGCAACATCCTGTCTCAGGAATGGGGCCCTCGACTGTTGAGAATCATAGGCACACGCCAACTGCACCTCCTTCGCCAGGAAACAGCCATCACAGAATACCTGGCTCAGCGCTGTTGTCTCTGCGATCAGTGGGTAGGCAGGTCTCAGGAAATGCACAAGCACCTCAGACTTTTTCATGCTGCCTACTGGCCAATGGTGATGGCCAAGAGCACTCAGCTCACGAACATACATGCTGATGAATCACCTTGTGATTTTTGCAAGGGTATTTTTCAGAAGAGCCACTCATGCAATACGTGGACACAGGTTAGCCTCCTCATCATTTATGGGGCCACCAATCCAGAACAACAGGGGGATTCGAGAGGACTTCAATGTGAGATCTGCGATCAGGTTTTCACTACTCCTGAGGCTCTGTGTTCTCATTTGACCCAGGCTCACCAGCTCACTAGTGCACGCTGGAACCAAGGCAGGGACTCCATCGATGGTGGCTCTGGATGTGCGCACTGTGGCCAAGTTTTTGGAAACATGGAATCTCTGCGCTCACACATATCGCAGGGCAGATGCAGTAGCTTCAATCCCACTCTCACCAGTGAACCAAAAGCAGTTACGGATCGGACCATTCAGGTTCTCTGTGAAGGTGGATTGACTGAGGCGGTTCAGGACTCTCACTGGCGGCTCCAGCATACCTTGCACTGCCTTTGCTGTAGCGCGACATACCATAGAGCAGGGGACTTGATGCTGCATTTACAATGTGCACACTCCCAACTTTGGAGAGATTCAGAACCGCTCACTTCCATTTTTCTTGGCGTTTTTTACCGTGCCTGGGGATGCATTTGCAATCCCACAACCACTGTCAAGCGGCTTAATCATGTCTGTCCGGCACTGAAGCAACTGTCGATGCAATTTCTGCGGCTTCCACCCCACAAGATTTTGATGCCATTGCTGATGACAGAACAGATGCTGACTCAGGCCTTATCACCACAGACACCCAGTGAGCTCAGATTTGCAGTGGAACGGGCACTGATTTACAGGGACTTGGAATCTCTCTTGGCTCAACGTCCCTTGATGCAGACAATGGCTGGTCAATGCCTACTTTGTGGACAACTCCATCAAGCCCATGATCTTGGACTCCATCTGCGCGAGGCGCATGACTGCAGCTCCACTTTGGTTGCCTTTTATGTTCAACAACTGATCCCGCTGATGCTTTTGCAGAATCCTTTTGATCATATGTGCCATCTTTGTGACATGATCTTCAACCTGCCATTGCACACGCAGCTCAGTGATGCATCTATGGAGACCAACCTGACTGATCGGATCCTATTGGCTCAGAACCATTTCAAGGCGCACTGTCCAGTCTCATTGCAACTTGCCCTCGTCCTCTGTCGAGCTCTCAACAATGGAAGACACCACCATGACCGAGGGTATGGAAGCTTCAGCGCAGATCCTTCAATCCTTCCAGCATCTGGCACCTCTCTTAGGAGTCAAGTTGGACAAGGACTTGGAACTGGCACCCAATCCTGCCCTGATGAAGCGCCTTCGAAGCGACGCCGGGCCAAAGGGAAGAGGCCGACATGTGAAACAGGAAGACGAGACGGAATCCTTCAACCTCCGCGAGACGGTGCTCCTGATGGCCAAAATCCTGGTCAGGCACGATCAACAGATCGAAGCGGTGAGACGAGAAGACACATTCATTTTCTTCTTCAACAATCAGGCGCCTACAGGATCCCTGAAGTGCTTGATTGCGGCGGCGGAGACGTGGCACTCCCAGAGCCAGAACCGGTTGACACCATGGCAACCCTTACGCCAACGGCTGCTCCAAGTGCTCCTGAAGGATCTCCATGCCAGACTGACACAACTGGGCGAGGCCAAGCAGGACTCACCGCTGGTCCAGGCGGCAATGATGAATCAGGTGCTCCTGCCAGACCAGAACTGCCCGTACCTGGAATGGGACAAGGCTCAACGCAAACTGGTGGTCTCCAACCGACCCCCCATCTCCTTGAAAAAGATGGTCCAGAACATCCAGGAGTTACAGGAGATGTGCACGGAGCCGAGCCTGATCCAGGCCTTTCATGCTCTGCCACCATCCGGAGAGACCACTCCGTGGCGCCTCCAACTGAGCCTGAGGGCAGATCGGGAGTACTGGTTGATGAAAGCGCTCTGCGGCTCCAGCATTTGGGTCCTCATGGCAGCCAGTCTCAAGGCTCACAGCCTACACCAATCAGGACTGGCAAACCAGCTGAGCAAGAATCTCAATCTGAGATCAACCAAGGGCAAGAGCAAGGGCAAGACCCCTCCTGCGGCACCGACCAATTGACCTCACCAAGGGCCTTTGACCGTGATGTTCTCCAGGACAAGGTGGCCCATGCAATTTTTGCCAACTCAGACAATTTGTGTTTTGCCAATTCAGCGGTGACTTCTTTGCTGTGGCTCACTTTGAGCATAAAGGACTTTGACTTCACTATTTGGGGTGAGCATTGCAATACTTTGCATGATTTTGTTCACAAGATTTCTCATCAGACAGGCGTTTTGACCCAAGAACCATGGATCCACCAAGTACTGCAATGCTGGGGACGCTTCGACCCGGACAATCCAGGTCGTATATCTCAGCAAGATGCTGCTGAGTTCATTGGTACCTGGCTGGAAGTCATGAAAAGTCCTGCTTTTGACCTGCGATGGGAACGACGCATTGAAGCAGAGGGAGCCACTCATTTGGTTGATGAAAGTGCATCCACTCGACCCATTTTTCTTCAATTTGCTCCCATCCATACTCATTTACCACGATGCGCCCTTTCTGACTTGATTCAGGTCTGGCATTTGACTGACGGCATGAAGGCGGCTCTCATATCCTCATCGATGTGTGTTTGTGTGCATGTCGACAGATGTGTTCATCTCCCTCCAACGGGAATTAGCAAATGTCACACGATCATTGACACTGAGGTGGACTGTTTGCTCCCCATCTTTATGAATGACACATTGGACAGTGGCCTGCTTGAGTACACCATTGTTGCCATTCAGGCCCATCTTGGGGGTGATGCTCATGGACATTACCGTGCTGCAGTCAGGATTCATCCGACAGTGACTCAGGGACCTGCTCCATCCTCCTGGCTCATTTGTGATGACTGGCAGAGACCGACTCCTGTCTGGACCCTACCTGAATGGATGCTCCACAACGCAACGATTTTCTGGTTGCTGCGCAGTGACAGTTTGCACCTCCATCAATATGCAGATCCAGTACAGGACACATTCAAGCCCAGCTCGATAGACGCCATGCTAGCTCTTTTGAAACCGCTGGACCCACCAGTGTAGTCATGGAGCAAACAACATGCTGCTGCAACAGACTGTGGACCTGTGGCCTTATGCACCCAGCCTTGAGCTGATAGATCCCCGCCCATTCATCCCTTTTCATGCCCCTCAGCAACCCTGAGGTGTACCCCCTGCGGCCACCCCATGTCCAAAAAAAAATGAAAAGAGGGCGTAGGTCTTGCCCCATCAAGCTGTTGCTTCGTCTCACTCAATTGTTGTTTCCAGTCTTTAGGCCGCGTTTCACCTTAGGATCAAAAAAAATCAAGAGGGCCTAGGAGCTGCCCCAACAAGCTGTTGTTGCCTCATAAAAAAAAAAGGGGTACGTGCACAGGGACACCCCTTGACGTTTCACCTTCTCCGGCATTTTGCTGCTGTGGTCCTGCATTTTAATTCAGACAACTGGCATTTTGCTACTGTCTGGATTCCCGTTTGTCTCACGATGCCAGGTTTTGACCGCTTCATGCACCCTGCTCCCACAGCAGGCTTATCCCCCTGCTGCATCGGTAACCCCGTTGCCCCCACCCCAGCCACGAGCTTCCTGCTCTTAGGCTAGGCCTTGTATGGATGATTAAAAAAAAAAAGAGGGCGTAGGAGAAGCCCCACCAAGCTGTTGCTTCCGTCTCATGAGTATGTCTCACCCTTTTCAGGTAGTGCCACGTCTCACCCAATCCCCGGACCCCGGATGCACCCAGCTACCCAGCTGGCTTGTCCCCTTCCCTTTTCACGCCCTCTGGTATCCCCAGAGTGTACCCATGCCACAGAGGGCTTGACGGCTCTCCATATCATATAAGCCTGGAGACAGAGGCAAGGGAAAAAAAAAAAACGGACACTTCTCCAGCAAGAGCTCTTCACCAGTTTTCCTTCTTGTGCGAATCCTGCAGTTCTGTGGCCTTGCAGAACCATCCAATACCAACTTGTCAGTGAGGATTTTGGTGGCATAGTGACTCTGGATGATTTCTTCTACTTCTAGACCTGAAGATATGGCAACATCCATCTCCAAGACGCTGCAAAGCTTGCCGACGAAAGCTTTGTTTTTGGCGCGAAGCTTCTTTTCTTTATATATAGTGACTGAGTGCTCAATATGACACTCGGGTGGAAGGTCAGTCATGTTCACCTGAACCATCGAAATAATCGATGATGGCCGGCACAGACCTTGGACATAGAAAAAACACACACACACACAAGCCCCTTTGCAGCCAATTGTGCTGCTTCAAGCAGCGAGGAGTTGCTAGGGTAGGGTGCTTTGATCGTTGCAGGGACGTCGTTTTCCTTCTTCAACCTGCCATATTTTCAGCGCGGTTCACTGGGATTGACATCATTTTCTTGTCGCGACGACGACTGTTTTTGATTTTTTGACGGTTCTGGCTGCTGGCCTATTGGTTGCAACAATCCTGAGTCAACTCAGACACAATACGAAACACATCTTGCAATTTTGGACTGGACACTTCAAACTTCTGCTTATTACACTGTTTCTTTTTTCGACCTTCTGCAGTGGGGTCAATTTCATCGGTACAACATCAATACAGACTGACACTTCTTTGCACACTGATTTTTCATTTCAGAACCAGGCTTTCTGCAGTGGGGCCATACGGACTAGGAACAACACTGGTGCTGGTGCCTTTACACACATCAGGGAAACACTGTGCTGCTCTTTGGTCTTCTGCAGTGGGACCACATTTCATTGGAACAAGGTCATTGCGGGGCCATACATTTCCATTGAGGAGACACTGACCTGCATTCAGATCTTCTGCAGTGGGACCACAGTTTGGATACGGTCTGCAGACCTCCTGCCGATCAACACCCAGCCCATATTCCCACCGGAACAGGTTTTCTGTCGAGCGGTCTTGCAACACTGGACACTGACGTGGTTTCAGGACTTCTGCAGTGGGTTCAACATTCCAAGCGATACAATCTCAGCATTTTTTTGGCTTGAGGCACATTGGCCACGACAGACATCCTTGCAGGCCTCTACAAGCGATACAACGCATTGGCTGACTTGGTGGGGACACGACACTGCCCTGGAGTATACAGCGTGTTGTGCGGCCGCACAAGTGGATACGTCCACCCAGTGTTGTGTTCTGTGCCTTCCAGCCATTGATTCCCCAAAAAGAAAATTTTCCTGCAGCCAACCATTTTTGCCAGTTGCAGGCCCAGACCTGCTGCCAATACCCCTTACCCATAGTCCAGATAAGCCTTTCTCACCATCTAATTGGGTAACCCGTTACATCATTTCTTTGTACTGCCTGCTCATTGTAATTGTAAATTCATTTTCCCTGATTAACCGCCTGACTTCCCTGCCACTGACACTGCACCCCCTGCCCAGTGCCACAGTTCGATCCCTGTGGATCATCTGCAAACCCGGTCCCAAGTCCGGGCAGCCTGCGACCAGAACACCCGTTTGTAGGATCTCTTTTTTCCGGATCTTGTACATAGCATTTCTGGTGTGGACAATTATGCAGGCTGGGGGTGAGGGTTGCACTAGCCAGCCATGGGCCAGTGCAGAAGCTGCACCAAGTAGCCCAAACTGGATCACCCTGATCCAAGCGAAACAACATGGCACATCACTGCAAAGCGGCTTAGGCCATGGAGAATGCCCACCTCATGTTGCAGTCAAAACTAATGTCCAAAAGAGAAGCTTTCGTAGAGCTGTACGCAGAGCCCGCACTGCGGGCTGTGCCTGGTATCGTGGCAAATGCTACACTCCTGACCAATTCCTTTCAGTGAAGTTACCTGAAATACCGTTGCCAAAGGTCAAACAACAGGTTCAATACACAAAGGAATTTGCACCACGCCATCGATTGCAAGTCTGCCATGTCAACGTTGGTGGATTATCCCAAGGTCGGCTTGCTGAGATCAAACAATGGGCCTTAATGACGGAAGCCAATGTCATTATCCTGTCAAAAACGCGTTGGTCATTTGAGTCTGAGTGGGAAGACAAAGACTGGTACATGATCCATACTGGCTCTTCTGATGACAAAGCAAATGGGATCCTTTTCTTAATCAGGAATACGATTTGCACTGCTGCGGACATTGGATTTGCCAGTGTTATCCCTGGGAGGCTAGGACACCTTCGCATTCATCAAAATCAGAGGTCCATTGATCTTCTTGGCTGTTATCAATTTGCGGATGCCCACAGCAATCAACGCCTTCAACAGCGCCAGGACTTTTGGGATTGTTTGGGGACAACTGTACAGAATATGCCCAACCGAAACATGCTTCTTATTGCTGGAGATTTGAACTGTAGTTTACCAATGGTTCATCCACATGTTGGCACAGCTCATTACTCCTGGAAGACCCATAAACATAAAGGTCCCCAGCACAAAGACATGGATCAACTTGGCATTCTTCTTCAACGACATCACCTTGTGGCTCTCAATGGATGGAATGCGCAGAATCCCCCAACATTTATCAATGGACATCACACCTCGAGGATTGATCACTTTCTCTTGAGACATGCAGATGTTGATCAACAGGCATTGGATGTCAAATTTTTTGTTCAGGCAGATTTTTTGCCGCTGTCGGGTGCATATCATGTCCCCATGCTATGTTCCATTCGTAAAACACCTCAGGTTTACAGTCGACATGCAAGCTCCGGACACTGCACCTTTCAGCAGCGACAACAATGCCGGCAGGAGTGGGCTGCCAATACAGACAAATGGCAAGCGTTTCACAATGACCTTCAGCGATCTTTTCACAGTTTCACCATGCAACAGCATCCGTCGGAAGTTTTGATTGACAGAATGCATGAACATCTCATGCCAATGTTTCACACCTTTTTCAAATCCAGTAGCTTGCAGCCACAATCAGACCCGATGGCTGAGCACAAACATATTGTACAATCCAAATGGTTTCATCGTCAACAGTTTTTGCAACAGCAGTCGCCACACCTTCAGACACTTTTTCGAACCTGGTATCACTATGGGCGTTTTCGAAATCTGAAACGCCAACAACAAAAGCACAGCAAAGCAGTGCAACGACAAAAGATGGCTGATCTCATGACAGAAGTTTCCCATGCTGCGGACAAACATGACAGTTTTGCGGTGTATCAGGCGGTGAACAAGTATACACCCAAACAACCAAAGAGACGCATCCGCCTGCGGCTGACTAATGGAGCCCCTGCCTCCCCAACTGAAGCCTTGGAGATGACCAGGAATTATATCAAAGAAGTTTGGCTCCCGGCAAGCACTGTTGCAATTCCTGTCCGCAGTCCACCAGGAGTTCCGTTTTCCAAAGAGGATCTCATCCTGGAATTGCTTCGGACGCCAGTGACAAAGTCAGTAGCACGGCCGTGCTTGCCAGGCCTTTGCTGGAAGACACTAGCCCATGATGCAGCTGAATTCATCTATCCAAAATTAGTTGAATGGTGGGGACAATGGCCACCCTTCATACCAGCTCAGTGGAAAACGGCGCATCTGACATTCATTCACAAACCGGCCAAGACACCAGATCGACTTAGCCATTTGAGACCCTTGGCTCTCCTTGAACCGGTGGGAAAGAGCGTACTGGGATTGCTTACAGCCAGATTTGCTGCTGAGGTCAACCCTCTTTTGTGTCCCTGGCCCCAACTGGCCTTTTTGCCACAGAGATCCTCCTTTGATGCAATCAGGCGTGTAATTGCCCATTGTGATCATATCAGATGTCTCCTGCTCCAGCAGCGACGCAGTGTGCATCAACGTGCAGCCCAACAACAATGCTGGACAGTCTGTGGTGGATTGCAGGTATGCCTTGATGCCTCCCGTGCATTCGATATGGTACCCCGCCAAGGACTTTTTCAGTTCCTAGGTACCCTTGACATCAATCAGGATTTGGTAGCATTGCTGGCCATTTGGCATTCCAATACCAGCTACATCATCACACAGGGAAACACCTCATCCTCAGAGGGCACTGGTCGTGGGGTCAGACAGGGCTGCCGTGCTGCCCCTGTTCTCTGGTCATGTTACACCCTTGACCTCTTCTACCGTCTTTCCCATCAACTGGGAACTGAATGGATCAAAAAGAACCTGACGGCATTCGCTGATGACCTGCACTCCAGTGATTGTTTTCTGAATGAACATGAACTCAACATGGCACTTTGGCGCATTGGAATCTTGCTTGACACTTTGGAAGACATGGGCCTGATCCTGTCCTTAGAAAAGTCTCTAGCTATTATTTCCATAGGAGGCACAAATTGCCGTGAGGTCATTCGTCGCACTATCCATGTTGATGCCAAAGGACCTCATCTCCTTATTCCTAGGGCTCAAGGACGCACTTCCAGACTCCCTGTTTGTAGCCATACAAAATACCTTGGTATCCAAATTGGTTATAAACTTTTTGAAAAACACACCATCCAGCATAGAATTGCAGCAGCACACCACTCGTTTTCCAGATTGAGACGCTGGCTGTGTAATCATCGCATGCACCTGAAACATCGCCTCAACATGTGGCGTGCCTGTGTTTTCTCAACACTGGTGTACGGTGTGTTTCCTGTAGGCTTCACTTATGCCGATGTACTCAAGTTGCAACAGTGCATTTTCAAAATGTACAGGGCCATGATTGGAGATCACAGTTATGTTACACGACATTCACACATTCACATTTTACATCATTTTGATCTTACACACCCGCTCCAATTGCTGCTTCATGTGGGGACCCAGCTGAAACGCTCAATTGGCCAACGACTCAACACCTTGCAGACTGACGACATTTTGTGGAATAGCGACTGGTCACACCTCACCACGTTGAATCAATTGGTGCATGCAGTGTATGTGGAACAATTTCAGGTTCAGCTGCTCACTCCTGCGATTGAGGTGCGCCCAGCATCTCATCCTTGCCAGTTTTGTCACCTCATGTTTGACTCCATTTCCAACTTGCGTAGGCATCAAACCAACGCACATGGACTGAAGCAATTGCGTACCTTCACAGCCACAGCAGCCTCTTTTGCAGTTAGAGGATTGCCACATTGCTCACACTGTAATGAAATTTTTCCCAATTGGCGAAATTTTTGCATTCATTTGGAACGCAATTGTTGCCAGGCATTGACGCCTTGTGGACCTGACGCTCTTGCGTCCCAGAGGATGACACAGATGCAGGCCGATGGACCATATCCAAAACTGGATGATTCATCACTCACAATGCTGATGGCCAAACCATATGGGACGGCAGTGTTGGATTGCATCAAAGCAAGATGCTGGGATCAATTGTGCAGTATGAAGGACGCGCTGAAAGACATGGTCCATCACTGCATTTTGTGCGGCGTTTACTGTGGTAGACCGCAGGACTTGAACCAGCATCTACGCACCCAACACGGGGGGCTAGTGCCTCATGTTCACTCCAAGGCCAGTCAGTTATGCAGAGCACAGGCATCCAACTCTCCATGCAGATTTTGCCAGAGAGAATTTCGCAGATCTCACCAATGTCCCATCATGATGCAGTCTGCCCTGATCCTGATCAACACCGATGGCACAGGCACTTCCTATACTCATCCTGGGGAACATGCTCTGCGCTGCGATGTATGTGGACGTGCCCATCAAGATGTGCAGGCATTATCCGCACACCTGTACACTGAGCATCGTCTTGAACCACAGGACTGGGACCCCCTGCGCGACCTGCTCCAGGGAACAGAACCAGTGTGTTCACACTGCATGGCCATGTTTGCCGATAAACCTGCAGTACGTCAGCACATCACTTTAGGACAATGTCCGAATTTTCACCCCATGAGACCTGTGGCGACCTTGCCTATTTCCATGGATTGGCAGGAGTTTCTTCAACGTGGGGACATTCAGGCCCTCAGACAGGCACCAATGAGACGCCTTGCACTGACGTTGACATGCCAGTTGTGTTACAACAAATTTCAACGCACCGGAGATTTGTCTCTGCACCTCCAAACAGTACACAGTGCAGATTGGCATGCAGCACAAAACATTGTGCAATTGCTCCTGGCCACGTGCCAAGCTGATGGATGCATTTGCAACCCCCAAACTCATGCCAGTGGATTACAACACATCTGTGTGCCGTACAGGCAACTTGGAATGATGACGCAGAAGATGGCCCTTCCACTGTTCTTGCCTTGGCAATTCAACATTGATCAGATTCATACGTTCATGCCAGCCGTCACTGACCACCCGCTGATGCCGAGGATCACGGACAGTTTGCTTCAACGAAACTTCACGGAACTCTGGACTGATCCTTTGTTGCTGGAGTTTTTTCGTACCACATGCATTCAATGTGGACTGACGATGCATCCTGCTGAACTTCGAGACCATATTTTCAGTGTGCACTCCTCAGCCTCCATCATGTATGACAAGCTGCTGCCTCAGCTCCTACAAGCATTTCATGGTGCTGCCACAGTTGATCACAGATGTGATGCTTGCAACCAAATTTTCAATCATCCACTGACCGATCAAGAAACTGACATGGCCTCAAGAAGGTTGTTGGCTCAGATTCATTATCAGCATCAGTGCCCGGTCTTGTTGCAGATCACCCATCTGTTGCTCTGTGATTATGGAAACGGCACCGGAGCTCAGCAAAGAGGATGCGGAGATGCTCGACATCTTCAAACACCTCGGTCCCCTTCTATCCCTCGAGAAGTACGCCAGACCAGAAGGCGGAAGAGAAACCAAGAAGGCCAAACGCGAGGAGGCAAAAAAGGAAGGGGCAACAGAGGTGATGTCTCTGCTGACGGCAATGGGCAACCTTCTGCTTCGCATAGACTCCGACCAACAGGCGCTGAAGCGACAAGACTCCTGGATATGCTTCATGCAAACAGCGTCTCAAGCAATCCTGCCGTCGTTGGTGCAGAAAGCGACAGAATGGAAAACCCAGCAGAAAGACCAAGCACAGACCGAGAGCTACTTGCCTCTGAGGTGCTGCCTGGCCCAACATCTGGCCGACACGATGCTGCATCGCCTGACCAGACTGGCCCAATGTGCGGAGACGGACCAACTGATGATCCTGGCCAAACAACAAGGTGTGCTGACTCAGGACAACCAGTTCCCATTTCAGCGCTGGAATCCTCATGCCCAGGGCCTTCGGCAAACGGGCCAACAGCCGATCAGCTTGAAACGCATGATCAAGTATGCCGAACAACTGGTGGAGATCCTGAAGGATTCCTCGACCACAATCAGATTCCATTCGATGAAAGCGGCAGATGCCGAACCAGTTGTGCCCTGGCTCTGGCAGATATCGCTGCGTGCCGACGATCTCCAAGTTCTGTTGACAACGCTTCAGGGATCGACAATGTGGTCTCTCCTGGGCATGTCGATGAAAGCCCATGCACAGGGACAAAGCAAGCCGGCGATGGCTCTTCGAGAGCTCATGGGGAAGGGGGTTGGCAAGTCGAAGTCCAAAGGCAAGACCAAGACCAAGCAGACCCCCAGTTGATCCAACAACCACCGGTGACACCACACAGGGAGACACTGCTTGCCTGTTTGGCCAGCTTGCAACTTGCCAATCATGCGAACTGGTGTTACATGAATGTCTCATTTGTCACCTTGCTTTGGGCATTGCTGAGCACTGATGTGTTCAACATTTCACAATGGGGACCCGGGGCCTCCCAATTGGTTCAGTTTCTGCTGGGCCACAATTCCGAACCAGCTGACCTTCAAAACATACCATGTCTTCAAGAAATTCTTGAATGTTGGCAGGGAATGAACCAACAGGGAGATCCAGTGGAATTTTTGGCTCACTTGATGCGGGGGTTGCGTATATCAGGCATTGACATGCGTTGGGAGAAAAGAATCCAAATTGGTGTCATGACTGAAGCAGTTGATTCCAGCGATTCATTTACACCACTGATTTTGCAATTTGACCCTGTCCTGCTCCAAGATGACTCAACCACACTGCGCCAACTCATTCGAGACTGGTCCAGCCAGGATGGCATGATCCGTGCATTGCTGCAACCATCCCCCTTGATCTATGTTCAAGTGGACCGCCATGTACGCTCAGGTGCTGGGCAGATCACGAAGTGCGATATCCCAGTGAATTTTCATTGGGGCATTGAGATCCCCGTCTACACCAGCACAGATCTCACGATCACATGGAACACATACAAGGTTGTGGCAGCAATTGCACACTTAGGTGCTGACAACTCGGGTCACTGCAGAGCGTTGCTCAAAGTTCAGATGAATGCCCAGGCCAGACCACCTCATATGTTTCTTCTCACGGATGATTGGGTCGAGGCAGTACCAGTGTGGAAAGAGCCAACCTGGTTCGCAAGGAATGCCACCTGTTTCTGGCTCTGCGACATGGACCATTTGCAGCCATTTGTGATGCCTGACACAACCATTGCCCAGGTACCCCGACCGCCAGAACCGGCGCCACGTGTGGGTGCTGCTGAATTGCTCAACTTTTTTGTTGCGGGAACTGAGGAACATGCTGTGACCTGATTGCCCATTTTTCCTGTTGCAGATACGAAATGTGCCATGTGGTCACCATGTTGCCTTCAGCCTTGCCAGTGCTGACCATTTGGATGCATTGATGCAAGCGCAGCCTTGTTTCATTTTTATTTCCGTCGTTTCATGGACCAGTTTCACAATCCCTACAATGCATAGTACAGTAGCCTGGGGCATTCCTGCCATCCGCACCCAGCGCCGACGCTGGGCCCTGCCCCCCACCTTCCATGCCCCCTGGCAACCCCAGGGTGTAAACCCCAGTCTCTGAGGGCCACAAAAAGAAGCAAAAAAAAAAAAGGGCCAAGAGGCATGATGCCCATCAAACAAGAAGCCAAAAAAAAAAATCTTGTTTTACCATGCCCACCCAAAGCGGCTAACTCCTCGAGTGGGTCATGCCCAGCGGTGGTACCAATAGACACCAATGAGCTTGCCTGGATCATAGCTGCTGGCTGACCCCTGGCCTTCTGTCAACAGACCGAGATGCAATCATGACATTTTGCCAACATGGTGCACCAGGCTCACGGCATTTTGCCATAGCCCCGGTCTAAATTGACCTGCCACATCTGCACCCAGCCCTGCAGGCTGGCTTATCCCCACCCCTTGTCCCTGTTCACGCCCCCTGGCAACCCCAGGGTGTAAACCCCAGTTCAGCAGGGCCACGAAAAGAAGCCCAACAAAAAAAAAAAAAGAGAGGGCCAAGAGGCATGACGCCCACCAAACAAGAAGCCCCAAAAAAAAATAAAAAAAAAAAATTGCCTTGTTTCACCGTGCTCACCCAAAGCGGCTAACTCCTTGTGTGAGTCATGCCCAGCGGTGGATCACGCCGACACCCAAGAGCTTGCCTGGAACCTGATCACAGCCGATCACTGCACTATGGCATTTTGCCAATCGTGATGCAACTATGGCATTTTGCCAACATAAACCTGACCCCAGGCATTTTGCCACAGCCAGGACCTGATTCGGTCTGCGCCAAATGCACCCAGCCTTGATGGCTGGTTTATCCCCGCCCAATGTCCCTTTTCATGCCCCCTGGCAACCCCAGGGTGTAAACCCCTGATTGCAGGGCCACGAAAAGAAGCCCCCAAAAAAAAGAAAAAAAAAAGGCTGTTGCTTCTAATCGCTGTTGGTTCTCCTTTTATTTGTTTCACATCACCGGATGCTTGCACAGCCTGTGCACTATCCAGGCTTGCCTTTGCCACCACTGGCAAAATTTTGTCTGCAGATGCCATCTGAGCTTTTGTGCTGCGGCATGCTCGGCATTCTCACCCAGCCTCTCCACGTGAGAGCCAACACTTCCTGTGTTGCAGTGAGCGCTGACTTTTCCACAGAAAAGGTGCGTGGAAAAAAAAAACACACACACACAGCACGAGTGGTGCGCTCAAGCGCTCTCACGAGAGCTGTAGGAGATTGTGCGTTGGACGTTCTTTCCATTTTGGGGCGGGGTAGTTGCCATTTTTCTTTGCGGTGCTGTGATTTTATTTTGAGTTTCTGGCGTTTTGGCGAACCCACCTGTTTTGCTGCATCTTCACATCTGGTTTTCGCCTGACATTGCGAATAATTGCTGCTCTGGCGGCGACTGTGACACCACGACATCCTGTGCCCTGTCCTTGCGACACGGTGGCTGGACCTGGAAAGGGGGAGAAGCGCTGAAAATTTTCTGTTTCATTTGCTGTGGCCTTTCAACTACTGCTGCAATATTTGCAGGCCCCTTTGAGACGGCAAGGATTCAAACTGTTGGGGTGAATTTCACCCTTCTCACATTTTTTGCTTTGGTAGCAACATTGCCAGCTCTACTTGGTTTGCATCTTTTTCAGTCGACTTTGTCCTGGAAAACACTCAGTGCTGCATTCTGTGGAGTTGGCTTCCATTTTGCACTGACTGGCCTTGCAGCACTGAGCATTGCGACTTTCCTTACAATTTTTCTGGATTTTTGCAAGACTGGTTTCTCCAACAAGAAGTACTGTTCTCGAGGGGTAGGCTCCCTTCATTTTCTGACTGGCCTAACGAAGCGATTTTTTGTTTCGGTGCATGTGCAGAGATTGAGTTGTGGTGCATTGACATTTGTTCCTGATTTTTCTGGATCTTGCTCTCATTTTGATTTTCGACTTTCTCCCAGATTGAGCACGATAACCAATTTTGGGGTAGGCTCCCATCATTTGCTGACTGGCCTGATTCTGCAGTTTGCATTCTGTTTTGCGAGTGCATCTTTTATCTGGACCAACTGGCGGTGGAGGGCTGCTTCCTTCACTTTGGTGGGTCCCTGGATTCCAACCGCTCTCAGTGAGACAGCCATCATATTCACACTGGGTTGGACTTTTGGGATACTGACATTAAAGAACGCGTGGCACAACTTTTGGCTGGGCACCAAGACTGCTTGTCCCAACATATCTGGTGAGACTGGTTTTCATTTCTATTTTGCACAGGTTGTGAACAATTTACAGGGTGGGCTCCTGTTTTCTGATTCTCACTGGCCCGATTTTATTCATTTTCGACAGACGCTGGAACTCATTTGGCGATTTTTGTATTTGTGTTTCATTTCACATTCTGGACCATTTTTGGCGCTCCTGCTGGCCCTACGCGCCCTTGAGCGGCCTTTTTGGTGGCGGACTTTTTCTAATTCTTGGCAACTATTCCTTCCTATTTTTCAGCACAGACATCCAACGACAAGATCCCTGCGCGCACAGGAACCTTATCTGAAGAATTGCAGATCTGGTCCCAAATCCAGATACAGCTCTGCAAAGCTGAGAGGGTGGCGCTGGCTGCTCTTCTTTCTCTTCTTCACCATCAACATGCAGAGCTGCTGGGGCGAGGGTTGTAACCCAGCCACGGGGGTTACTGAAGTTCCAACCGACGTCTTTGATCCTGATCGATTTGGAACGAAGCAACGTGGCAAGCAGCCTCCAGTGTGCGACCGCACAACCAGTAGGCCTGAGACAGTTGGGAAAACACACACCTGGGTTGAGAAACGCAGCTTGCAAAGAGCACATCGAAGAGCTTGTCTTACAGGCTCTGCGTGGTATCGAGGAAGACACTACAACCAATCGGATTTTGAACGCATGGGTTGTCCACCAATTTCACTTCCTGCTGCAGCTGATCTTACACAAAATCAGAAACAAGATTGGCAACAGTGCAATCGACGCCATATGACAAAAGGACGTCTTCATTTCTGGCAGTGGAACAGCGGTGGATTATCAACTGCTACCATGGATGAGGTGAAAGCATGGCTGGTTCTCAATTGCGTGGATGTGGGGGTGATCCTTGAGACCCGCCTCACCTTTGATGGACAATGGTCTGATCAACACTGGAACATCCTGCATTCAGGAGAGGGAGAACACAGGGGAAAGGGCATCATGATTTTCATATCCAAGCGTTTATGCAACATGGCACAATTACGTTGGCAATTTCATGATTCTGGCAGACTTGTTCATGTGCGTATTCAAGTGAATCCCAGGCCGTTGGACTTGGTCGCTTGTTACCAACACACATATCAAGCTACCAGGACTTGCCAATCTGCGCGTGACAGGTGGTGGACCAAGTTAGAACAGGTTCTGAATGGTTTACCTAATCGGGAGACTTTAATTGCTCCCTTAGTGCGTCTTCAGGTGTCTCCGGCACCACCAAATTTGCCTGGCAGGGCAAGGAATGCACGGGCCCTATGCACAGCGATCACTCACGCTTTCTGAGCATCCTGCGCGGCAATGCATTGGTCACCTTGAACACATGGTCATCCACTTTAGGTCCAACATACATTCATTGCGACCAGGCAAGCAGAATTGATTTCTTTTGTGTGCGGCAGATGTTTGCTGATCATGTTGCAAAGGAAGTGAAATATCTTTGGCATTCCCCTTTTTTGAACCAAACTGCTGTTGGACATGTTCCCATGCTGTGCAGCCTTCCGCGTTATTGGATCCCCCAAAATGCTGCTTCAAAGATCCAAAAAGTGACCATGCTCCAAAGACAGATCAGCAGACAGGCATTCTTGGATTCCACAGAGACCTGGCAAAGTTTTGTGCGATGCTCTCAGCTGCAACTGGAGAGCCGCCTTCAACATGTCACTCTGGAGGCGAATCACACTTTTGAATGTCTCCATGCCGACATCCTTGAGACTTTTCTCAACCACTTTCCTCCTGGGAAGGTGGAACGTAGTGCACCACCTTGGCGTCCTGCCTTGAGAACCATTCTCAACAAATGGGACCACAGGAGACAGATGATGAAAGCCAAACTGATCACTTTAAGCAGTGTTTTTCAGGGTTGGTATCATGCTGCCAAATTTGTTTCTCTGAAACGGCAACACCGTCGATTAGCCAAACAGATTCGAAATTCACAATTTGCTGAAGTGGTTGAATCTGCTGCACGTGCAGCAGAGAAGCATGACACACACAAATTGTTTCAGGTGATCAATCGTTTTGCTCCCAAACAACCCCGAAAACAAATTCAGATCCGAAATCAGGATGGACTCATGGCCACACCCATTGAAAGTGCTGCAATCATCAACAAATTTGTCAGTGACACATGGAGTGGACCTCACCAGCTGCATATTGCTTTTGAACAGCCTCCAGGAGTGCCTTTCTCAGTTCAACAGCTGGAGAAAGCGCTGTCTCTGATACCAGTGACTCGTGCAGTGGCAAAGCCATTTGCTCCGGGCGTAGTTTGGAGACAACATGCCACAGTTTTGGCACCATTGCTTCATGCCCAGCTTCATGCTTGGTGGAATTTGAACCCGCCGATCATACCAGACGTTTGGCGCCATGGCTGGCTGTTTCTCATCCCAAAACCAGGGAAGCCCCCAGTGGTCCCTCAGCATTTACGGCCGTTGGCCCTGCAAGAACCGGTAGGTAAGGCTGTGATTGGTCTTTTGATTCATTTGGCCATGCAAGATGTAAAATTCCATTTGGTCTCCTTTCCTATTTGGTCATATCAGGAATGCAGATCAACATTAGAAGCTATCAGGCATGTTAGCAGCCACTGTGCGCAGGTCAGACAGTTGATTCAGCATTGCCGTTCCACTCCCCACTCCCGTGCACATGGGGGGCAACAAAGAGGCCTCTTTGGGGGCATTCAGCTCTGCATAGACCTACAACGGGCTTTTGACCAGGTCAACAGGTTCAAGTTATTTTCACGACTCCATGAGCTGCAGGTTAGGCCCTCTATCATGGCTCTCCTCACTGCATGGCATGAATCCACGATCTACTACACACAGGTTGATGATCAGGATTTCCCAATTGAAATAGGGAGGGGTGTGAGACAGGGATGCAAGGCTGCGCCGGGACTTTGGTCCCTTTTCACCCTGCTCTTTTTGCATGACCTTCTGAATTTTGTGACATTGGAGTGGATCCAGAGCCACCTGACGCTTTACGCCGACGACCTTCACATTGGTGCCATGTATCAAAGTTTGGAAGAGTTTACAGATGTTTTGAGGGTTATGGGCATCCTATTTTCTACACTGGCTTCCATGGACATGACCATCAATCCAAACAAATCAGTGGCCATTTTGGAAATGCGTGGCACACAATGCAAACAAGTCCGACCTGGCTTTGTGCGGCGTGACTCCTGTGGCGAGAGCTTGAAAATTCTGGTGCCTGGCCACGAGACCATGTACATCCCGATTCACAAATCCACTAAGTATCTGGGTGTGATCATTTCATATGGCAATTTCGAAGACAGCAGCCTTCGACACAGACTCTCCTTGATGCATGTGGGTTTTCGCAGACTGCAAAGGTGGCTCACTGGCAAGCATTGTCTTAGCACTGCACAACGCTACAAATTATGGCAGACATGCGTCTATCCCATCTTTTGTTATGGCCTCCTGGCTACGGGCATGACCCCTGCAGGGATTCAAAAGGCTGTGACACAAATGATCGTCATGCTGCGCAGAATTATTCATGACCATGCTTTTCAAACACACAGAACCAATCAATATGCATTGGCTCGGTTGAACATTTCTTCACCGGCGCGCTTGCTGCATGCCACGACCATTGGCCTGTTGAGGACCCTGCAACTCAGATCTACAGTGCTCTTTGATCATGACTTGGCTTTGCAACTTGATTGGACTCATTTGCCTGGTCTCCTGCAATATTTTGAGCGCATGCAGGCTGCTACATCTTTGGGGACACCTCACCTCTCGTTGGAGGCAAACTGGAACACACCTTTGTTTCAATGTGCTCTTTGTGATTTTTGCACGGAAAACATTAGCGCTTATCGCAGACATTGCACTGTTGTCCATCAACGCAGCATGATGAGAACCCAATTTGTCAATTTATTTGCACATGCGGTTGATGGCTTGCCACAATGCAAAACCTGTTCAAAGATTTTTTCAACATGGCGCATGTTTACGGCTCACATTGAGCGTGGATGCCAGGAGCTGATCATTGGCCCTTCTCTTTGCCCAGCTGACACACATCGAGTTGGCCTTGACCTTGACTCAGCCAGGGTTCTTGCCAGGCAGATGCAGCATCCCAGTGATGCGGCAGCACGTGGATTGAGGCTCATCACTGCAGCTGAGCTTCACAATTTGCGCTCCAGACCTTTTGGTGATCAGATTCTCCACATTGTGCAGGAGAGAGACTGGCCCAAAGTTGCAACATTACAAGACGCCTGTCGATATCTGGCTTCTCACTGCGTGATTTGCGATTTTCAGTTTTCACGATGCCAGGAACTTCACCAACATTTTCGACTGCAGCATCCAGAGCTGTGGGAATATGCTCCACAAAAGGGCATACAGCTCACAAACCTTTACTGTGAGGAGAGCCCATGTGCCTGTTGTGGATCGATGTTTCTCACACACACGTGCAGCACATGGTCACAGATAGCTGTATTGTTGGTGAATGGCGCTGGAGTCGAAGCACCAGCTGAAACTCCACTGCATGAGGAGCGTCAAAGGTGCGAGCTCTGTCTTCAGTGTTTTGCTGATCCTGCTGGCTTGGTGCAACATCTCCAATCTCAACATGGACTGCAAGGCCTGAGCTACAATGAAAGCAGGGACTCTTTGGACCATTCTTCAGCTTGTGCACATTGTGGACAACTGTTTCTCACGAAAGGGGGTTTGAAATCCCACATAGTGCAGGGCCGCTGCCAGCACTTCAACCCCCAAGCTTCGGCAGAAACAAAGGAGGTGGAAGATTCCTGGGTTCAAGCATGTTTGGATGGCAAATGCTTGGAAGTTTTGCGTCCAGCAGCCACTCGAATGAGATTGACTGTGGTGTGCCAGGCCTGTGGTAAAGGCTGCAGTCGGTCAGCCGACCTTGCGCTGCATCTACAAACAGCCCATGCCAGGCTGTGGAGACAAGCACGACGTTTGACTATGGTTTTGACAGAAGCTTTTGCCCAAAATCCATGTTGCTGCAATCCATCCTTGGGTGTCAAACGTGGACATCATGTATGCATGCCATTGCGCCAACTTGCCATGAGTTTTCACAGGATGAAGCGTGAACCTTTTGCTCCCACGGTGATCACTGAGAAGGTGCTGCAGGACATCTTGTCTGATCAGTTGGGCAGAGCTGACAAATATCGTTTGCAACAGGCACTGGTTCATAGACAATTTGCGGCTCTTTGGCAGGACCCTGACCTTCTGAGGCTCTTTCGAAGCCAATGCATCAGCTGTGGTTCCTGCCCATTGCCTGCTGAGATGGCACTTCACTTGCGAGAGGAGCATCCTTGTGGCCATCCCATGTTTCAGTTTTACATGGAACAGTTGGTGCCGCATTTGCATGCACTCAATCAAGATGATTACCAATGCAGCTTGTGTGGATTGATTTTCAACCTGCCTGCAAATTTGCGCCCAGAAGAACCTTTGTCAGACAGAGTGCTGATAGCCCTTTCTCATTTGCGTGGATCCTGCCCGGTGCTGACTCAGATTTCATTGCTGCTTGGTGCATTGCTGAACTGTGGACAGCTTCAGCATGGACTCCCTGATGGAGGATTCAGATCAGACCATCTCGACACAGATGATGGAAACCTTCAAGGAGCTGGCACCACTGCTGGACAAGAGTCTGCAATTGGCTCCCAATCCCAGACGGGCCAAGGCACCACGCAAAGGAGGAGCAAACGCCCCAGACGAAGCCGAGAATCTGCACCAGCAGGAGAAACCCACGGGCAAAGCGATGCAACTGCTCACCACCATGGCTCAACTCATAGTACGACACGATCAAGAAATGAACAGTCTGCGTCGAACAGATCAATTCATTCTTTTTTTGAATCCAGATCCAACAGGCGCGCTTCATCTCCTGATTCAAGAATCAGCCACGTGGAAGCAGCAGATGGAGACAAAGCCCAAAACGCTGCTGCAGCCGCTGAGGCAACATCTGGTGCTGGCCTTGCTGAAGGCCCTCAGCACCAATGCTGGCAAGATAGTGGAGAGCAAGGACACGGACCCATTGTACCAGACCTCTGTGAAGAGGGGGCTGATTCTGGCAGATCGGAGCTTCCCGTTCCACCGTTGGGACGGCCAACAGTTAGTGATAGACAAGAAGCATCCCATCAGTGCACAGAAGATGTTTCAACACCTGACAGAGCTTCAGGAGATGATGTTGGACAAGGAGATGATCGTCAGATTTCATGCACTCCGGGCTCCAACCGACCAGAACACCAAAGCAGTTCCTTGGCGACTTCAGATCAATCTCCGAAGCGACAGGGCCTACGACTTGATGTATCAACTGTGCCACAACTCCATTTGGATGGCTGTTGGCGCAACAATGAAGCAGCACAGCCTGACCCAATCTCCGATGGCAACGACCCTGCAAACCCTGATGGGCAAGTCCAAGGGGAACGGCAAAGGAAAGAACAAATCCCGCCATCCTCCTCAGCAAGCAGCTTGACCTTTGGCACCCTGCCTGATGATGCAAGGACCTTGGCTCAGTGCCTGTTTGGGCTTGTCCTTGGCAACGACAGCAACTGGTGCTATGCCAATAGCTGTCTCTATGGCCTATTGTGGACGTTGTTGAATGTTGATGCCACTGCGCTCTCATGTTGGGGATCACATCATGCTCTCTTGATTGATTTTCTGAAGCGGCATGCAAACACACCTGCTTTGCTGAAAGATATCACCTGGTTCAGAGACATTTTGTGCAATTGGGGACCCAGCCAGGGTCAGAAAGACAGTGCTGAGTGTGCACAACATTTTCTGACTTGGCTTCAATCGGAAGCATTTGATATGCGCTGGGAAAGACGGCTGGATACTGAAGCTGGTGTCATGCTCATGGATCACAGTCTTGGTTGCACTCCCATTCATTTGACAATCACTCGGCAGATGCATGCAACTGGCACATGTACACTCAATGATCTGATTTCAACCTGGTCTCAGGAGCAATCGATGCGTGCAGCTTTGCTAGCTGCTCCAGCTTGCCTCTGTCTGGCCATTGACCGGCATTTCCAGGATGAGGCTGGCATCATTGGACGCAGCATGTGTTGCATTGACATGGAGACTGAGGTCAACATGCCAGTCTTTTTGAATCAGAGCTTACAGTATGATTACACAGGGTATATTCCAGTTGCTGGCACGGCCCACATGGGCATGGACTTGGCTGGTCACTGCCGAGCACTTTTGAAAATTCAACCAACCATGATTTCAGACACGCAAGCGGCAGCTTTTCTGGAGACGGAAGATGGATTGGCACCGCGGCCAATCTGGCGCACACCTTCATGGTTTGCACAGAATGCCACAGTGGTTTGGATGGTACGCACTGATTTCCTGCGCATGCACGTGTATGCAACATTCACTCAGGACAATCCAATGACTGAGCCTTCTCAGGAATCTGCGATGATGCCTACGGAATCACTGGCCATGAACACTGTGTCCCCAGACTTGGAGCTGCTGCATCTGATTCAGGGCCAACATGGAGCATTGGAACGAAATTGATCACAGAGGTGTACCAAGAATTTCTTTCTCCAATTTGCAGATCATTTCTCACCTTTTAGTTTTTCCTAGTGTCTCACGAGGCCTTTAAGATTCCATTTAGGGAACCGACGATTACAAATTTCGTTGAAGGCTGGCACGGACCTTTGAAGCATAGCAGAAAAGGTGTGTAGGAAAAAACACACACACAACAACAACAACAACAACAACAACAACAACAACAACAACACCAACAACAACAACAACAACAACAACAACAACAACAACCAACAAACAACAAACAACACACAACACACAACACACAACACACAACACACAACACACAACACACAACACACAACACACAACACACAACACACAACACAAGCAACACACCACGGACACACTCACATCACAACCACAACCACCACAACCACAACAACCACAACAACCACAACAACCACAACAACCACAACAACCACAACAGCAACAACAACAACAACAACAACACACAACACACAACACATAACACACAACACACAACACACAACACACAACACACAACACACAACACACCACACACCACACACCACACACCACACACCACACACCACACACCACACACCACACACCACACACAACACACAACACACAACACACAACACACAACACACAACACACAACACACAACACACAACACACAACACACAACACACAACACACAACACACAACACACAACACACAACACACAACACACACCACACAACACACACCACACACCACACACCACACACCACACACCACACACCACACACCACACACCACACACACACACAACACACACACAAAAACACACTTGGTGTCATCCGTGGCAGGCGTGGCACTTGGTGACATCCACCTTTGTTTTACGTGGCAGGCGTGGCACAATCTCGCATCTACCGTCGTTTTGCGTGGCAGGCGTGGCACTATGGTACTGGGTGGCGCCCTTGGGCCGGGATTTGGCGCCGGGGCGCCGCGCCACTTTGCGTGGCAGGCGTGGCACAACCTGACATCCACCTTCGTTTCACGTGGCAGGCGTGGCACAAACTCACATCTACCGTCGTTTTGCGTGGCAGGCGTGCCACTTATGGTACTGGGTGGCGCCCTTGGGCCGGGATTTGGCGCCGGGGCGCCGCGCCACTTTGCGTGGCAGGCGTGGCACAACCTGACATCCACCTTCGTTTCACGTGGCAGGCGTGGCACAATCTCACATCTACCGTCGTTTTGCGTGGCAGGCGTGGCACTTATGGTACTGGGTGGCGCCCTTGGGCCGGGATTTGGCGCCGGGGCGCCGCGCCACTTTGGGTGGCAGGCGTGGCACAACCTCACATCCACCTTCGTTTCACGTGGCAGGCGTGGCACAATCTCACATCTACCGTCGTTTTGCGTGGCAGGCGTGGCACTTATGGTACTGGGTGGCGCCCTTGGGCCGGGATTTGGCGCCGGGGCGCCGCGCCACTTTGCGTGGCAGGCGTGGCACAACCTGACATCCACCTTCGTTTCACGTGGCAGGCGTGGCACAATCTCACATCTACCGTCGTTTTGCGTGGCAGGCGTGGCACTTATGGTACTGGGTGGCGCCCTTGGGCCGGGATTTGGCGCCGGGGCGCCGCGCCGCACTTTGGATGGCAGGCGTGGCACAACCTCACATCCACCTTCGTTTCACGTGGCAGGCGTGGCACAATCTCGCATCTACCGTCGTTTTGCGTGGCAGGCGTGGCACTTGTGGTACTGGGTGGCACCCCTGGGCCGGGATTTGGCGCCGGGGCGCCGCGCCACTTTGCGTGGCAGGCGTGGCACAACCTGACATCCACCTTCGTTTCACGTGGCAGGTGTGGCACAATCTCGCATCTACCGTCGTTTTGCGTGGCAGGCGTGGCACTTATGGTACTGGGTGGCGCCCTTGGGCCGGGATTTGGCGCCGGGGCGCCGCGCCACTTTGCGTGGCAGGCGTGGCACAACCTGACATCCACCTTCGTTTCACGTGGCAGGCGTGGCACAATCTCACATCTACCGTCGTTTTGCGTGGCAGGCGTGCCACTTATGGTACTGGGTGGCGCCCTTGGGCCGGGATTTGGCGCCGGGGCGCCGCGCCACTTTGCGTGGCAGGCGTGGCACAACCTGACATCCACCTTCGTTTCACGTGGCAGGCGTGGCACAATCTCACATCTACCGTCGTTTTTGCGTGGCAGGCGTGCCACTTATGGTACTGGGTGGCGCCCTTGGGCCGGGATTTGTCGCTGGGGCGCCGCGCCACTTTGCGTGGCAGGCGTGGCACAACCTGACATCCACCTTCGTTTCACGTGGCAGGCGTGGCACAATCTCACATCTACCGTCGTTTTGCGTGGCAGGCGTGGCACTTATGGTACTGTACATACATATATACGTACGTACACACATACATACATACATGCATGCATGCATGCATGCATGCATGCATGCATACATACATACATACATACACACATACATACATACATACATACATACATACTACCTACCGTTTTACCTTCTCGATCTTTCACCACCTCCTTTGTCTTTCCTTTCTTCCCAGTCCCCGCTAAAACCATTGAAGCTCATTTTAGGAAGAAGTTGACTTGTGGGGTTATCCGGTCCTTTAATTTGATTGCCACCAGGCGATCCAGATGTTGCAGCTGCAGCTGCATATGTGCTGGGAGCTTTGGGGTCGCAAGCAGCAGCACCTGGGACTCGGTTTGCATCTGCGAATGGCAGATGCTGTGCCCTGCAGATGTTGAAAAAAAGAGGTTCCACTGGTTCCACTGAGCACAGCATTGCACTAGTTTTCACAGCTCAGATCCCAGGACCAAGCGCCAGCACTGGAAGCCCTCTTGAACAGCAAGGTGGAGGACCGGATGGTTGATATATTCATGGAGAATTGTTGTTGGGAACATATGTTTGGAGCAAATATGGAACAAAGGTTTGAAAACGTTTCCTATGCCGCGCCTGCTGTTGTGCAAACGAAGAATCCGCGAGTCCCAATAGGACACCTCAGCACTGGCGCTGTCTGCAACTGGTGCAATTTCTCCCTTGCCGGCGGCTCTACGGAAACCGACGGTTGCTGCAGCAGAGACCCTCGGTTTGGCTGGGGTTGTCACTGCTGCGCCACGAATCATGGAGCTGCTGAAGAGCTCGGACTCGGAGGCCTGATGAACTTGGCACCTGCCGTGACAGCTGAAACTGTGTCCCAGCAGGTTCGTGCGGCTGCAGCGGAAGCATTGGGTCGGCTTCGGGACGAGAGCGCGGTGCCTGCACTCTTGCTGGGGCTGAAGGCAGGGAATTTGTGGCAAAACCAAGGAACACAGGACCATTCTAAGTTCAGAATGTTGTGGAAACATCACAGCTAGATACCTCACAAACCATGATACCAGGTGACATTTTAACAACTTGAATAACTTGACATCCATTTCTGTTTCCAGCAAGGACCCTTCACCTAGTGTGGTTCTGGCCTGCTGTGGTGCCTTGGGGGCGTCAAAGCCAAGTCCTGAGACTTCCGCTGCTGTTGCCGAACTGTTGGAGGCCAGATGTTAGAGTTTTAGATCTAATTAGAATATCAATTTATACATTTTATACTATAAACATCAAAAAAAAGGAGAGTTTCTCGAAAGGCCTGGGCGTTTTCCTCACTGCTTTAGCACTTCCTTCTGTCCCGCAGGATCCACATCCCGCGGTGCGCGCACGTGCAGCCAACGCTCTGGCGGAGATGGGCGACACACAGGCGCCCAAGGATCTTCGGATTCCGAATTCCCAATGCCTTTGGCCACAGTAGCTTCTCCACAAACATATGTATATGATTGTATATGTATATGATATAATGTGGATATGTAATTATATGTATATATATATATACACATTAGTGTTATTATATACTGATATATGCACATACGTAATATTTATAGCCAAACGGATTGGCCAGTAACCCAAGGATTATGTATTGGAGTATACACACACACATATATATATACATATGTAAATATTACAGTAAAGTAATAAATACAAGGGAAATCTCTCAAAAGACTCTCTCGTTTTTTTGAGCCTTTTCAGCAGAAAAGGCTTTTGTGGAGCCTATTGCAGCTCTGCTGGATGACAAGGCACCTCCTGTGCAGGCTCTGGCGTTTTCATCTGTTTTCCATGCTTTGCTTCTTATTTTGTGTCAAGTTGCCTTGCTGTTCCTTCTGATCGTCCAAATCTGAGCCAAGCCTTGCAGGTTGCAGCTCTGCGTGCATTGGTTAGCTGTGGAGAACAAGGGCAGCTTCACGCTGCTGACGTGTGTCGCCTCGCAGCGCAGGGGGATGATAGGACACCGGGGGTTGAATTGTCTGACTGGGTGCCGTGCTTTCTTGTACTTTTTCTTGTGGCTGTTCCGAGAGATATGCTTTTCAGGACGCGGGTAGTGGCATTGCAGACGCTGTCGCAGCTGGGTGAGCGTGGTGCCGCCTTTGCAACAGAGCTGGAGCCCCTACTTGATGATGCCTTACCAGTGCCTGGGCAGGAGGCCCATGACATGAGGAAAGATGTGAACAGATACCTAAAGTTTACCTAAAGTATTTTAAAGTCACACCTTACCAATGCCTTGAAGGGCAGAATGGTTGAGGAAATCTGTTTGGCTGCTCGGCGGACCTTGGAGCAATTCAAGACTGGGCGTGCGGTGCCATCGCTCCCGAGCCTTCCCAAGGTTGGGCGATACCGAGGGGAAGTTTCACTGTTCGATGCGATGGATCTTCAAGAAAAAAACTTCGAAGAAACTACAGAGTTGTAGACGTTCCAACCAAACGGCAAGCCATTCTCAGGATTTGACTAAAAGACGCAGACACAGATTCACAGAGCTTGGACAGTTTGTCCTGCCAGCAGGAGTGAAGCAGTTCCTATCACAACATGATGGGGTGATTTCACTGACATGCCCTGGGGCCTGCAGGTGCAGGAAGTGCCAGCTTTGGAGCCACCGAGCGCAGGTGCTGACTTCATTGCAGTGGTCTGAAGAGCTGGAGGCATTGGAGCGGCTCTCAGCAGCTTTGATTTGCTTCCAAGACTCACTTCAGCGGGTGTTGGAGAGGTGGAAATTTTCAATCAAGTCAATCTGCTTTGTGTGCTTCATGGGAAGACATGGGAAGACATGGGAAGACATGGGCCAGTTCTTTTTGTACAATTTTGTAGCATGCAGGCATTGGCCGATCAAGATGATTGGACGAAACTCACCACAGCTCACGTCATGTCTTGAGATCTTCCATATGTACAAAGAAGCAGTCACATTTGCCGTTACAAGGCATTTTACTGCACTGTCAGGGGCTCTCTCAATGAAAAAGTGCCGCCGAGCAAATGTATTTAAGCTCCCCTCAAGCGGGTTGCTGAACATTGTGTCTGTCCTGTCTATGACTTGGTGGTCATATGTGGAAGACACACCAAACATGAAAGCTGGACATTTGCAGCCCAGCTACTAAAACTCACACTTTCTGTCTGCAGCACTGCGTAGCTTGCATCTTGAACAGTGACATCTTGGACTGAGTGTCATTTTGCACAAATCCTTCAGTGTGTAGGGAAAGCTTTCACTTCAGTAGTTTATTATTTAGGCTTCCAAAAACTTGACTTTTCAAACTGGGTGAGCACACAAACGCATCTTTCCAATAGATGATATAGAAAAAGCTGAATGGCTGAATGTAGCTGCTCTAGATTCTTTCGTGTCTGAGTTGCCCAATGAGACAACACCAGGTGCCACATTGCGTGTAAAAACTTGTTTCCAGTATCATTTTTAACGGGTCAGCATCAGCTCCTCAAATGGCGTCGAACCCCATCAGGCGCTGCATGCGCTGCATGTCCACATTGCAGCTGTTTCACATTTCACATTCTCCGCTGAGAGCAGCAGTGTTTTGGCAGGTGGAGTTATGACACTTTGGTGGAATCCTTTGAAGTTTACCATGCAGGCGGGGCTGGAAAGAGTCCAATATGATGAAATGAGAAAAATGAAAGGAGACAAAATGAGGCAAAACATGCCAACAGAACATGATTTGCCGTGATGTCTTTCTGAGTTCTGAGCTGTTGATGTGGAGAGGAGCTGACCCGCCCCGAAAGCTTCTGGACTTTGCTCAGCAGCTCTCCGTTTTTGAGCGCGGTGCTAAGTAAACTCACGACTGCGAGGCTTTGAAGCGGCAATAAAGTTGGCATGGAGCGAGCTTCATAGCAAGTGAATATTGTTGTTTGTTCTTGATTGGCTATTGGTTTCTGATCCATTTGAATTCTACATGTGGATGATATATGCTGCATATGTACTAAATAAAACATACATACATACATGCAGTATATATATAATATCCACTACACATGTATGTTTTGTTTTCTGCAAGAGACTTCAGCGAGGCCTGAGAAGAAGGCTGTTGCCAAAAAAGCCAAGGTTGAGAAGGCACACGCATGTTCAGTGTTCAAGGTGAGCAGCTCACAACAGCCACGTTGCCAAAAGGCCGTGAAGCCAAAGAGTGCTGTAGAGGACATGGATTGTGGACCAGTTCTCCCCAAGTGGGCATTCTCTAAACTAATCTTGAACAAGGGGGAAAAGAACTGGATAGAATTGGAAGATTGTTTTCGAAGCCCCTTCCAAGGTGGGAAAGAGAACCAAGGTATCCAAAGTGGAACAACAAACAATTTCAATCGCCACTACCTCTTTGATTCATTTCTGCCCACCCGATAAATAACGCTGCGACAGGAGACAGCAGAGGTGGTGAAAGAAGTTCCGCAGTCCATGCCCCAGAGGTGTTGCAAGGTGTTGGTGAGAACATTTGGCGATTCAAGTTCCTTGGCTACTTTTGTGTACTCTGTGGTATATATGGGGTAGCTCCTGTGGAACCATTGCGATGGGATTGCAAAGTGGGCATTTAGCTCACCTTCTCTACCTTACCCTTGTTAGTGTCCTCTGATTTGTCAAAAAATTGGAAGAGGAAGCTTGTTTGCACCTAGGACAGTTTCCCGAAACAAAGACATTTAGATGCTTCGATTCCGTGAGTTCTTGAATCTTTTCTCAAAAAAGAGAGTTTCAAAAACAGTTCGTGAAACAGCTTATAGCAAACCAAAGATAGAAAAACAACATCACTACTAAAAAGTAGTGAACATCCCTACTAAAAACTACATATAGAATTCATATAGAATTCACAAAAAGCTTCCCATTTCTTTTGTTCCGAGGCCCCGGGCGGCCAGGGCTCCACGTGCGCGGCGTGGACCTGTGCCCCAGCCCTTCGCGGCGCCGGAGGTACCGCAACCAGCTCTTCCGCAGCCCGAGGAGACGCTTGTATCGCACGTTCGTATACAATATGTATCACAATAACTTGATATTATATAGATATGATGATATGTATAATTATGTATATGTATATGTATCTGTATATTTCATACGTATATGCAATGCGACAGGACGAGCAAGAACATTTGACTCCGGAGTCACTGTGGCATGTCTTGCAGCTGGAGAATGGAAGCATGGAAGCACATGCCAACCCCTGATAATCGATCCACCCAGAGCAACTGAACCCATCTCTGCCAGGCAATACTCAGACTGGATGAAGTACTACAGGGAATGCGCTGAGCTTGAGCCTGAGGTCAACTCCCTTGATGCACACAACCGGGAAGTGTTTCATGTTGGTGGATCCTCAAACAAAGGGTTGAGTCACGGCTAAGGTACTTCGAGCAATGCGAGAGGAATTGTGCAGAACAGGCAGGAGCATTTCGAGAGGAGTTGCATCCATTGGGTAGAATGGGGATGAATCGAGCAGAAGGACGTAGAACAACCGTGGAACATTGGAACAACATTGGAACATGTTTCTTGTCAAAGTCTGCTGCAAGTCAGCTCTATTGTCGCTCCAGGCTGGCGTGGAGCTGCCAAGGAGCTTGGGTGGATAGACATTGAGCACTCCCCGCAAGTGCTGAGACTTTTTGCCAGTTCTTTTAATCTCCAAGTGTTCGCAAAGTCTCCAGAGATGGGCTTGTTTTTTTTGCTTGGTTGCTTGGTTGCTTGCTTGGCAGTTTCTCTTCATATGCAGGAGAGCTGGCATTGGACAGGCACCAAGCGCACCAGTCCAAACCTTGGATTTGTTGAAATACTGCACTCAGATACAGAATGCTGTACTTGGCAAAATGTTTGATTCGGCATGGATGTTTGCAGGCACAAATCCACACGAAAAACCATTAACTATGCAGAAGTCACGCGTTTGCAAAAGCAATTCCATAGTATTCCAGATTGGTCAGGCAGCTCCAGCAAGGGCACAGGCGAGGGGCTTCAATGTCTGAACTTCATGTGAGCCACATTCAAAGCCCTTGTTTAGGAAGGGGTGTCTTGTGGCGTAAGCAAAGTCCGGTGGGCGAAAGCCCCGTGTACGACAAGATATGCGCATAGCAAAACCTGTGCGCACATAAGGATACTGTAACAAAAACGTAGGCAATGGTGTAAACATTTCCTTATCTGGTGCCAGGCTATAGACATTTTGAACATGGCTCATATGCACTTGAATTGTCCAACATTTTGTCTTCTTTGTTCCACGTCACCTAACTGTCTTTCCTAAACTGTGCAAACTTTGCTATGTGTGTGTTCAGTTGATTCCTTTGCCTTCGACAAGGCGCCATCCTCGCCTTTCCATGCCGGAAAGGCCATGTTCGCCAGTTGCGAAGCAGCGATCAATTGGAACTGTCCGAACTGTCCATTTTGATCTGCTCCAGACAACTGTGGTTCCTGGTTCCCCAGAGGCTCCTTTGGATTCTGCGTTGTCTGGTTCACCGTGGGCTTCATTGATGCCTCCACCTCTACCTGAGGTCAGGGTACAGGGGATGGCATACCCGACATCTTCGTATCTGAAACATATAAACAATGACTACAATTGGATACCCTCAACAATGGGATCGTTTAGTCTCACCATGTATAGCAACTCCCCAAAGATGGACAAGCAAAAACCAACAATAAATAGTGTCAATGTAGTTTTTGCAACTTTTTTTTTTGGTTACTGACTTGCAAGTACGACTGTCGACACTTTCCAACCGCTCAAGAACTAGATGTGGACTCATAGACTGTTTGAGGGCCTGTCAGCTCTTGGTCAGCTCTCGCATTGGCTATCCTGTCCCTTGCATTGCTCTGCTTCCTGTCTTCCTTGGCTTGTCGCTGGCATTTCCATTGGATTTCTGCTTGGACTTGGACTTTTCCTCTCCCTTGCTTTCCATTGGACTTCTGCGTCTCGGCCTTGGACTTGGCCTTCCACCGCTTCATCCCCTCCACCTACCTTTGAGGAATCTGACCTGATCAGGGCTCGGAGGAGGATCCAGGCCTACTTGCATGAGTGAACCGGTTACCAGGCAAGACGTCCTTCAGTTGATATCTAGCTTGGAACGTCTTACCTTGGCAGTGAGAGGATCAGGGCTTGGTGTGGTTGGAGGACTGGAAGATTGGGAGTTGGTCGAAGCTGACTACCAAGGGCCTGGGTACGGTGCAGTCAGGAACTTTGAGGTTGAGAGTGGGCCTCCTGATACACCTGCTTCCTTACTTGAGTTGGGAAAGAAATTGATCTCTTCAAAGACGGACGGCCAGTTCCGCATCCGCAGGGCGTTCACAGCAGGGTTTTGGGCCAAGATCTCTTTGCTTTGTGAAGTTGCTCTCTCTGGGCCAGAACCTATTCCTTTGAGGGACACTCAATTCCTTGTCCTGCGTGCTGTTGGGCTTGATCAGCCAGTGCGTGTCCTGAAGATCGAGGAGAGAGATCAGTTTGTTGGTGGTGATCCAAGAGCTTTGCACTACGGTTTCCCCTCCCTTGCGGAGGTGCAAGCGTTCTGTTGCGGAGCGGGCATCAGCGTTCCAGCTCTTTACAAATGCAGAAGCAGCGGATCAGGTTCAGCCACGAGGGTGACCCCTCGTTGCTAGTGTTGGACTTGCCAAATGACCTCTCAGCCAGCGGAGAGGCGTGTCAGATTTTTGCAGTTCCTCTATTTGCCCGACGTGGTGGACTTTTGCTGGCTGCCTGATGGCATGATTTCTCCAGGCCTTTTTGCAGCTGATGAGGGGCATCAAACAGGTGAGTCGTTGATTGGGCCCGGTGACACCTTCAACGCTTCGCTCTACGAGGATACCGATGAAGGCTTGGTGGCCATTGGTCTTGAGGGCGTGGTGCAGGTTTTTGATGCAGCTGACGCTCTTCTTCAACAGATCAGAGAATATGACCCTGTGACTGACTCCACTGAGCCTATCAGACCTTTCCATGTGACTTCTCCCCATACCTTTCCTCATGGTGATGTTTTCCTGTCACGAGTGCAAGAATGGATGAGAACTTTGGCCTTTGGAGGTAGCCTTTTTTGCTCAGCTCAAGAAGACCTGAGTCCTCCAAAGGTGCCTGGTGCTCCGGTTGCGGACACAAAAAAGGCTGCTGCTCCAAAGCGTGTTACGCAAGCTGCCGTCATGGAAAAGATCGATGTCCTTGTCAACCAGATGCAAGTCCTCATGGCTCGGCAGGATCAGTTGGAAAGCCAGTCAAGGGGGTATACTGCAAACGATGTATCAGGGCAGCAGGCTGTCTCCGCCCGAGCTTTGCCTGCGGTCTCTGCAGGTCTGGAGCCTGCAGCGGCTCTGCCTCTGGGCATGAGTTATGTTCAGAAGGCCGTCTCTTTGGCGGGACCTCCTCCTCGACACAAGGAGGCAAAAGCATCTGCGAGAGGCCTTGTGGAACAGGAGCAAGGCCAAAGTCCTGTAGCAGGAGACAGAGGAGGGCATGGTGGTTCCAGCTTGGAGGCTGCCTTGGTGGAACAAAGTACGGCTTTGACTTCACTGGTCGCTCACTTGGCCGCCCATACTGCCGACGGCATGTCAGACTTGAACTTGAGCAGCTCCTCTTCCCAGACATCTGGCACACGTGGGGTCTTACGGAGGGAGAAGATGCAAAGCGATTTGGCAGCCCGCAGTGGGAATTTCTACCTACAGCTGATGCAGCAGATGCATCGACGTCTGCACCCAGGGAAGCCTGTCCCTCAGAACCTGAGCGAGTTGCAAAGCCTTTCTATGCTGCAGTATCTGGAGCGACAAGGTGGGTTCCGTCATCAGAGAGAGACAGGCCTTGTACTTTGGTTGATGGGGCATGTTGTAGATGCAATCAATGCGGAGGACTGGGCTGGGGTGAGAGAGTTGGTTGCCCTCACTGTTGTGTCCCTGGAGCAGTCAGCAATAGACCAGGGGGACTGGTCCCTGGCCTTCCTCCTTTCCCTGGTGGCAGAGCCTCCTGTTCAGATGTTCCAGGATCGGATGGTTTCCATGTCTCCACATGGCCGGCCGTTCGCGCCGTTGTGCCCTGCCTCTTGGGCGGCAACCACATTGGCCTATCTCAAAGACATGGAGACTCTGACATCGAAGAAATCAGAAGTGGCGTCGAAGCCAAAAGCGAATGCAAATCAGACAGCAGCGCCTGGGGCTGGGGAGACGGCTTCTCCCAAGAGGAAGACGCGCTATCCGAAGAAGGTGAAGGCAGCCGAAGAAGCTGCCTGAATACTGGTGCGGGTACAGAGCAATTTTTGGACAGTGGGCCCTCTGCTATGCCCAAACCTTGCATGACACCTGGAGTTGGCCGTATCTATTTTGAAGTGGATGCGCTGGTTGATGATGATAGGCTGAATTCATGTGCTGATGGACCTCCTCCTTTGCCAACGAGCTGTTCCTTTTGGAAGCGGTCCTCTTGCCTTGTCAGATGGGTCCTCCGGACTCGTACTTCTTTTGCTGCATTCCTCAGATCCACATTTCACCTGCCCAGGCGATCTGAGCCTGCATCTGCCATCTTCCCTATCCCAGTACCGTTCCCTGGTGCTTTTGATAGGATGCCCCGAGCTACTTCTTCTTCATCCAGGAGGAATCGACTTGTCAGACAGGTCATTCATGTCATGGCTATGGCCTTGAATTTTTGGTGGAGTGGAGGAAAGTTTTTTGGTGGAGACTTGCTTGGGAGGGTACCTTCATCTCTGCACCGCAGCATGTTTGCAAGATGGAAGTGCCTCATGTTGGCAGACGGCCCTAGTGGAGTTTTTGATGTTGCTTCCAGTGGCCGGCGTTTTCCTCAATTAAGTGCAAGGGTCAATGAGCTTTCTGAAGTCCTTACGAAGCTGGGGGCTACAGGGGGGCCATATGACCGAATGTTTCCAGGTCATGACGTCCCGTTGGATGATACTGGCATTGATGGTTTGGAGCCTTACAGAAGCTTGGATGTTGCAAGGCTGAAGGTGGTAGGGAGAGGTCACTTTGACGCAACTCCTTTTCTCGATGATGACCTTTCCATGGCCTATAGGTTTCCAGATGTTCTGCAGTATGACTTGTCTGGTGTTGACCTTAGTGCCTTTCACCTAAAGCGTGATCCTGCTTGCGAAGTTGCCAAACTTGCCAGACTTTGGGATGCAAAAGGGTTGCTTTTTCTTCACAAGACTGACCTTGAAAACGAGGCACCTCATGAGCTTACGAGGATCTTCAACTGCCTGAAAGACTCTGTGTGGGATCGCCAGATAGGTGATCGGCGAGGCAGGAACTTCACTGAGGGGAGGCTGCAGTCTGCATCGAAGACTCTTCCGAATGGGCCTGATTTTTTGGAGCTTTATGTGCAACCGAAGCAACAGCGGCTGTCTATTTCGGTGACTGACAGACGTGATTTTTACCACCAGTTTTGGTCATCAGATGCTCGTGCGGTTTCAAACAGCATAGGCCCTGCTTTGCCTTTTTCCTTGGTGAGGGATTTGGATGCAGCAAAGACTCTAGCGTTGGGGGAGAAACTCAAGAAGAAGCAGCCTCGCGTTTTTCGTGGCGACGGTCTTGGTACATCACTACGGCAGCGGTTTTCTAGCTTGGATGACCAAGTACTGGTTTCCTTCAAGTCAATTTTGCAGGGTGATCATCTTGGAGTGGAGCTGGCAACGCAGTCTCATGCAAACTTGCTACGTGATTTTGGCTTGCTCTCACCTGGCGTTAGGATGGTCTCTGATCGCCCTTTGCCTTCTCTTATGGATGTTCATGGTCTCTGCATTGATGACTTCTTCGCTATCAGCGTGGAGGACCGGAAATCAGACCCGCTTGGGGATAGGTCACTACGTGCGCTGGAGACTGCTAGGCATGCCTATGATGTTTACAAACTTGAGGGCTCCCCACAGAAAGATGTCTATGGAGTCGATGAGGGCAAAGTTGTTGGAGCCTACTTGAACTCTTCAAAAAAGGCTGCTCAGTTGGGTGTTTGCACTGTTGGGGCGCCGCCCGAGAAAAGATATGGCCTTTCGGTGATGTCACTTCATGTTGCACAGCTTAGCCATACCTCAGATAGCCTGCACTTGTGTCTTCTTGGTGGGTGGACTTCAGCTTTGGTTTATAGACGAGCCCTCATGGGGATACTGCAAGATAGTTTCAAGCTGGTGAAGGCAGACTCCATCGACGTCAACAAACCTGTCTTGGTGCCACTACCTAGGAAGGTTGCTGAGGAACTTACTCTACTTGCAGTCCTCTCTCCACTTGCCTGCTCAGAACTGAATGCAGAGTACATGCCTGAGATTTTCTGCAGTGATGCCTCCATGGAGAAAGGCGCTTTTTGCAGTGCGGCAGTTGAACCTCGCGTTGCTCAGATGCTTTGGAGATGTTCCCGTACGAAGGGGGCATATACTAGGCTGCAGACCCCTGCAGAACTGGTTTTGCAGCGTTTGGGCATTCATGAGGAAGTCTCAGAGGAGGCGGACAGGCATCTGGTATCGCCACAAAGGCCTTTAGCTCTGCAGTTTGACTTCGTGGAAGTTTTTGCGGGGTCTGGCCGAGTTACAGCAGCTGTCGCAGCAAGAGGCCTTAAAGTTTGCTGCCCTATTGACTTGTCTCGCTCCGATGAGTTCAATGTAGCATGGACGCATGTTGCCTCCTGGCTCCTCTTCATGGTTTCTGAGAAAAGGGTGAAGAGTTTTATGGTGGAGCCCCCTTGCACAACCTTTTCCATCATGAGAAGACCAGCCTTGCGTGATGTGGATTCTCCTTTTGGCTTTCAAGTTGATGACCCTCAGACAGCTGACGGAAATACTCTTGCGCACCGCAGTTTTCAGATGATGTGGGCTGGGCTGGTGGAAGAAGTCACTGGCATTTTAGAGACACCCTACACGTCCAAGATGAAGAATGTGCCTAGCTGGAAGAGCATTGAGAGACATCCCAGTGCTAGTTCTTGCAGGACCGACTCTTGCGCTTTTGGTTCAATCCATTTGAAGAGTTTTCGTTTTTTGGGTGTGCATGCAGACTTGGAGCCTCTTTCAGTGCGTTGTGATGGAAGCCACCAGCATGTTTTGGTACAAGGGGGTATACCTTAGGTTCTGCCATATATACACCTCGTCTTGCAGAAGCTCTTGCAGAAGTTTTGGTGCGTGGTGTGAACAGACTGAGAGAGAAGTTTAGACAGCTTGATGACTTGAAAGTCCATGGGTTGGAGAGCCAATTTGTCAATGAGGTTGCGCAGACTGCAAAGTGGGAAGTTGTCCAATCCTGGCCCCATAGGAAGACTGACCACATAAACCTTTTTGAGCTTCAGTCAGTTTACAAGTTGGCGCTTCATTTGGCTTCGCGGAAGAGAAGTTTACGGGCAGTTTGCATGGTGGATTCCGTAGTGACCAGATGTTCAGCTTCGAAAGGTAGGTCTTCTTCCCACCGTTTGACAGCAGTTCTGAGAAAGCTGGGCGCACTGTGTCTTTGTGTTGGTCTCTACCTGTCTCTGCCTTTTGTCCCTACAAGACTAAATGCTTCGGATGATCCTACCAGGAATGTTGCGGTTCGCCAAGCTTGTAGTGGACTTGGACTTCATGGCTGGTCTGATGAGGAGATATATAGACTTTCTCAAATGCCGAGGCTGAGGAAGTGGGCTTCTGGTTGGGCTCGTCTTGTGCTGCTCCTGTTAGGTCCTGTCGCCTTGGACTTTCCTGACAGATCAACCTACAGGGTCTCTGCATATTCCATTTCCACCTCTCAGGGTAGTGTCTCTTCCGAGCCTGGTTTTGCTCGACCGGGGTTGGACTTTGGCATGGATTTTGATGCCACCTTGGGCTACCCTGGGGAGGGTCCTGTGGACTTTGCTTTGCACTTCTCCATTCCCTTCCTCCTCTTTCTCCTGCCTGCCTCACAAAGCCTTTGCGAGAGTCTGGCTAGGTTGCTTTTTCCTCGGTAGGTACGGTTCAGTTTTAGCCATGGAGACTTCTGGATTTGTGCCTCGTAACCCTGGAGATATCAGCAGAGCTACCTGGAGAAGGGGCCGACCGCCTTTGCCTGCGGGTCGGCCTGTGCTGCCTGTAACTTCAGAGAATCGAGAAAAGTTGCTGCAACAGTTTTTTCACTGGCTGGAGACCATTGGTTTTCAACCCCTAACTATTTTCCATGAACCTCAGAGACATCTGCAGCAGATTAACGATCTTCTGAATAGGTACGGTAGATGCTTGTACTTTGGGGGCAGACCCTACAACCACTACGCAGAGACTGTCAATGCCGTCTCTGCTTACAGACCTGCCATAAGACGCTCCTTGCAAGGCGCTTGGGACCTTGCTTTCGCTTGGGTGCGTGATGAGAAGCCTACTCATCACTTGGCCATGCCCTGGCAACTTTTGCTAGCTATGCTGACAGTTTCCCTATGTTGAGGGTGGATTTCGTTTGCTGGTGGATTGGCGCTCTCTTTCGGTGCCTTGCTGCGACCTGGAGAGTTTTTGGGTGCAAAGCGTTGTGATTTGATGCTGCCTGCGGACGTTGGGTATTCACAAAGATTTGCATTACTCTCAATACCTGAGCCAAAAACTAGGTTCACTGTTGCGAGGCACCAATGTGCCAAATTGGATGTACCCGACATGCTGGAGGTAGTTGTCCTTGCGTTTAGACATCTACCATGGGATCATGCTTTGTGGCCTATGTCTGGCCAGACTTTTCGAACTAGGTTTCGGCAAGTTCTCCATCTGTTCTACCTGGAACTTCGAAAGTTTGTGATCCTGGATCCCTGCGTGCGGGAGGTGCCACCTGGCTGCTCCATAGCTGCGAAGATGCAGAACTGGTGCGTCGCCGTGGCCGATGGGCAACGGCGAAAACGGCTGAAATTTATATACAGGAGGTTGGTGCACTCCAGTATATGATGAAGCTCAGCTCAAAACAACGAGAGCACGTGCTAGCCTTAGCCTCTTGTTTTCCAGCTGTTTTGAGATGGGCGCAGCAGTGCAGTGATTTACAGCTGCCTACAAAAACCTGGGGACGTTTGTGGATGGCCGAAATCGGTGGAAAGTTTGGGTAGAGTGGGTACTGATGGATCGCTGTGGCGATGTGTGACTAGCAATGCAGGTGTGGAAAAATGAGACCTGAGCACTTGACTTGCAAGTACGACTGTCGACACTTTCCAACCGCTCAAGAACTCCCGAACCACTCCCCCCCACGGCCATCCACAACTGATGGATCGCTGTGGCGATGTGTGACTAGCAATGCAGGTGTGGAAAAATGAGACCTGAGCACTTATATATTTCTATTTGCCATTTACTGTACATCTCCATAAAATGGTTGGTTTTATACTACCACTTTTTGTTGGCAAAATCCCAGCCATCAGATAATTTGAGAGATGCAAAATCCCCAATTTTTCCAGGGCCAGTTCTGTCAGGGCGTGGCAGCTCAAGCTCCACTACTACAGGCCCTGCAGGCCTTGCAACTGCTGCAGTCTGGTCCTTGGAAGCATGGCGTGGCAGAAGACGGGTATGTACAAATGTAAATGGAAATGAATGACTATACACGCATGAATACAATTGAATACATACATAGATCATTATGTGTATATGTACATATATATATACATATGTATATATATATATACATTAATACACATACACAATACATGTGCATCTACATAAATATACCTATCATGATTTGACGATCTATCATGTCGGTTCGTCTTGATGTCAGCTGTGTTTCATTCTAGTGACCAAGGCAGCAGCAGCAGCTTCAACAACTGCAGATCCAATCAGTGCAACAACTGATTTCAGGCACAGAAGAACTGTAGCCGCTGTAGCCCCTGTAGCCACTTGTTCTGGTCAAATTCCATCAGGGAACTGTGGCCGGAGCCTGGATGCAGGCAGCTTGCTGGGTGGTGGCTTGCTGGGGCCATTGCTCGACACTCAAGACACTCGTTTGAGTTGAACTTTGCAGCGATATCTCCGCTTTTGCTCCGTTTCAATTCGATATTCCCAGGGCTGGTGCTGGCAGCTTCCCAAATCTCCAAAGCCCTGCGAACGGCTCAGCGCTTCTCCCATCCAGATTTGCAGAGAACGTTGATTGCAGTGCTCTTGATGGTTCCCATGATCCACAAACAGGTTCCTCCCAAATCCAGTGTTTGTTCATGATTTTCCAGAATTATATTAGCCATTTTGAGGTATACCTGGTATACCCCACTTTTGGACAGCCCCAAATAGGTGCTTTTTAAGCGGTCAGCATGGTTGGAGAAACACACTGGCCGTGGCCCCCATGCTTCAGGCGCTAAGTGGACTGAATAGCGAGACGTTGATGAATCTCCTGATGGCCTGGTACTACTCTGGGTACTACACAGGAGAATATGCTGCCCGCCAGGGAAAGATGTGAATTCTGTGAATACCATGGGTGCCATGGGCCTAGCTTGCAACAATGCGCAGGTCACATAGGTCACATAGGTCGCATAGGTCACATAGGTCGCATAGCTCACATAGGTCACTGCCTGCGAAGATCTCGTTGCGAGAGATAAAAAGACAGCCTATTTTGATTATGTGGTTGCGCCACTTTCACTTATCACAACGTGGATGCTTGAATGATGTGCAAAGGGATGGGTTCTGAGTGAGGGGAGTCGTTGAACCAACCAGCGGCACACCATGTGTCTGGAGGCTTTCATGCTGCAGCTATTACAAAGCTGAGACATGGCAGACAAGTAGCAGATCCAGATGCAGTAGCCCAGATAACCCAACCAACCATAACCAACCAAGATATCCAAGGGACCAAGGACAGTGTTCTGTTCAATTTCCTCGATTCAGATCGCTCATGGCACGACGTGGATGGGCAGCCCTTTTTGGACTGACGGCAGGACCGCAAAACGACTATCTGCGCTTTTTTGACCCTTTTGCATCATGCTGAAAGCATCGTCCCGAACAGAAATGACTCACCGCGCAGTTTTGCTAGGTCCGTGGCTCTGTTTCGTTGGGACGTCACTGAAGAGACCGGAGGGTTTGCGCATCTTGGCTTTGAAAGGCCGAAATGATGGACTAACTGTGACCTGACACAAGAACCAAAAATGTGTATTGCAACTGGTTGTTGACTCTTCCTTCGCAATTCATGTTGATCTGACACTGGATCCAAGGAGAAGGGTGCCCTGGACATGTTGTGTTTAATGCGGGCGCATCCACCTTAGAAAGCCAACCTGAGTCTGCTGATGCTAGCTTGACTCCAAGTGTCACACACTTCGGCATCAATACGTTGGCTCTGGAAATTGCCGGCAAACGAATCTTGATCGATCCCCTCCTGGTTGGCAATTTGGAAGCTTGGACGGGAGAATCAAATTGCAAGAATCCTCCCTAGCTGAAGCCTGCCCACTGCAGATCCATATCAAGAAGACATATTGCGCATCATTTTTTCTGGAGTGTTGCTAGTGCAGGGAACATAGTTGATTTATATATATATATTTCCTTTGAGGTTTGGCGTGTAGGTTTGAGCTATGAGCATCACCCCTTTCCTTTCTGAAATTGCAAGCCACATTGCGTGGAGGATGTCAGGCCTGTTCTGCTCTGAGGTCTTCTTTGGCCAAAGCTGGGCATTCCGTGGGAAGCGCCGCGAGACCGCCCAGTCCATTCGACCGGAGGAGGTCTTGGACAGCTTTGATGCGATTGTGAACCTTGGCAGCTCCCCATGGGTTGGTCAAAGCTTCCAACGTTTGTCAAAAATGGCGGAGATGTGTCCAAGGATAACTCAGAGTCTTGATGATCATTGCCACCGTCCAACCCTGGAGAGGATAGATCGAAGGCGACATTTGCAACGCTGGTGTTTCCAAAATGGCAAGCACATGTAATCATTCAAATCTAACCTCAGAATGCTTCAAGTGCATCTCATGATATCTCATGCAGATTGCAAAGTTTCAGCTGTGCAATGAGTACTGCAGATCTCTGACAGGATGCCCATCATCTCAAACCCCAGTGCTGCCAAAGCAATTGAGCAATTGGGATTTAGCCCCTCTGTGCTGCAGCCGGGAGAGCTTCTTGGCAAAGTCGGCACAGTCTTTCAGTTAAGGTTGCTGCAAGGAGTGTGAGGATCAAGGAAGCTAACGGATACAGTAGTTGGAGCTGGCCACTGTCTCACTATTTTTAGCATGAACCTTGACGGATTAGCCAGAATTTGAAGCCACCACAACTCAGACTAGTAGAAGATACGGATGCAATGGTGGCTGCATCTCAGGTCGCTAATGCTAGGGAAGCTTCGCATCTCCGCCTTGCCTGGAAGTGTCGTTGGCCCTCCGTGGCAAGATCCAGAGAATGGATACGTCGAAAGCTCAGTCTTGGAGCACCAGACGAAAATGGGGGATACGTCTCAAAATCATTAATTATACATGGGGTTTCCTGAAATGGGGGTACCCCCAAATCATCTATCTCCATGGGGATTTTCCATGATTATAAACCATCCATTTTGGGGTATCCCTATTTTAGGAAACCCCCATGTATATACACACACTTCGAAGTCATTTGCACTCATGGCCCGAACCCTCCAAGGTTTTCACAGACACTCGACCCGGTGGCTTGTCAATAGGCTGGAGAGCGAATCCTGTTGGCAACATTTTCACTTGTAGTTGTAGTTTGCAGATAGTGGCAGATAGACATTGCAACGTGCCACACCTCAGAGTGCTTTTCATGGACTCGTATGGAACTTGGGCAATAATTCTACCTGTTGTTTCACATTCACAAGACTTCGAAGTGAAGGTACCGAGCCTCATGGAAACTTGCTTGGACCTGCGCTTGGAACGTTAGACCCTTATGCTGAGAAGATGAAAAAACACCCGTCATTCATCTTCCATGCTTTCATTATCTTTCATTAATCATTAATCAACCGGATTTTGCGCAGCTACCAACAGGATTGGGCATCCCTTAGCTGCAAATCATCCATGTCATGGTCTATTTTTGAAGCCAAAGAGTCTGGGGATGCGCGACTGGATCCTCAGGTCGTTCAAGCGGCTGCCCAGTTCTTCGACTGTGCCACCACTGGATGCGGTCATTTTACCCTTGACTTCGCAGCAGATCTCGGGGTACAGGCGCTGCTTTGCTGTCGCCAGGGTATGTTGAAGGTGAGATTTGCAGACTCTAGGTGGAATATTGGTGGAATCAAGGCTGTCATGCCAAGTCTCGTGTAGAGTCAAGATCCAGTGCCTTTGCTATTTGCTAGTGGCCTGTTGCTCGTCCTCACATTGATGGGCCCTTCATTTCAGGTTGGTGAATGGAGTGCAGGAAGCAGCCGACACATTAGAAGCCCTTGATCCCGTGCCCCGGTTTTTGCTTCCACTCCGGAATGCAGAGCTGGATGCCTCAGGCTGGAGCTTTTAAAGTTGAGTTTTTTGGGACACTGTGTTTTGTGGAGCAGAAAGATCACATTTTCTGTGTCATCACAAGTAATTTACATTCCAAAGATTTCCAAAGCCCAGTTTTTCCCATTGGAGGGGTCAGAGAAGCATCGCAATTCGGAGGCTTCTTGGCTGAGCAGCTCCAGGAAGACGGCTCTGTAGAGAGTTTCGCCACGTTGCAGCGCAGCAGACCAAAACTGCGCCATGTGCAACTGCTGGACTTGCAGCCTGGGCAGCTGGTGCAATTAGAGCTGAGCCCCGCCCAGCATAGCCCAGCCTGAAACAGAAAAATACAGAGATTTCCATAGATTTCGAGCTTTGCTCCGAGCTCCCAATTTTCGAGGCCAAAAGAGTCCACGAAACTGATCAAGTTGATTGGTTTTGAGAGCTCTGATGGCTATTCTTTAATGATGTTTAATGGTTTTCACCCTGCTATGCAGTGTGGGATCCGTCCACACCAGTGCCACAGCATTGTTCAGACTGTTGTGATAGAAATTTCTGGCACGCCAAAAACACATTCGCCTGGTTAGCCTGATTCAGCACATTCATCAGGGCACAACTCATAAAACCTTCCACCATTGAGTGATGTGGGCGGATTCGTGCTGGGTTCAGGAGACTTTTCATGATTCCTGTACCTGTACATATACTTGGCGACACAGACTTATGTATGCAGCTTGAAAAGCACACCGAAAGCAGAGCAGCTTGGCCAGTCCCAAAGACTGCATTGCAAGCGAACGGTATGAATCTGCCCTGCCTTCAAATCTGCACAACATGAGTGGCACTCCACTTTGAATTTCAATAGTTCTTTGAGCGACCAAGGTTTGATGGAATTTCTGTTCTGCGATTATCAGCTCAGTCGAACAGACAAAGCCCTTTGCTTGGCACTACGTAAAATGACACTGGCAGACTTAGCGAAGTTATTTGAGCTTAACGCCACTGCGGACAGATTGCATTGATTCACGTATCCATTAGCTGGAGTCACTAGATTCCACTAGATCCTGTAATAGATTCAGAGTCAAAGACCAACTGATGGATATAGGATGATATTGGTAGATCATCCTGGCAGATCATCCGGGCGTAGGATTCTTCGCTTTGAATACTTTTCGCAAGAGCCTGCCATGGCGCTTATTGTACTCACATGACGGCCGGCTCTGTTTCTTGGTGTGCAATTGCGTTAAGGCAAAATTACTTTCGTGATCAAGCATCGCATTGGCAAAGTCCTTCCATCCATTGAATCCATATCTCATGTGGCTGTTTTTTGGCTTCCCAAGGTGGCGCTCAGATGTGCAGCCGTGTGGGTTCTGTGATAGAGGTCACCCCAGTGCTCCAGGCGGCTGCCATGGAATCCCTGCCAATGTCCCACAGGGTCGGTGCTCACGGCGGGTCTCAGCTTTAAATGGCAGGGCTATTATGCAGCTCCGCGCCTGAAGAGCGGGCGCCGGATGGGCATTGCAGTGGTGTCCAGCTGAGCTGATTTTGGTGAGTTAGGATATTTTGGCACTCAATCAATCACTTTGTGAAATTTTGTGACATTGTGTTAGTGTTTGATTGGAATTGGACTAGGAATAGCGAATTGTTTTTAGTAGAGCCTCCAACCGGAAGTCTATGGCCTTCATATCGCCAATCGCCAGTAGCCTCGCCAAGGTCCACGATGTCCTGGGCTTTGCAGATCCCAATTGCAGGTGCACAAGCCATCACCAGCCATTACAGATCTGCTGAGAACAGCCATGGGTCGCCACCTGAAATCACCTGATTTCAGGCACCTCGTGGACCACTGGGCATCCAGAGGATTTGAAGCCCTGATGCCGGATTGCTTCGAAAAGGAGGCCTGCGCAACACTTTTTCGCCAATCCTTATGCCGCATGCCATAAAGAGCTGTGAAGGCTGAGCCTCCAGGCTTGCCTGACGATGATGATGAGGCGTTTCAGAAGGTTCGTCCATGCTGCTGCGTTGAAAAGTACACTTGAACTTGTCTTCATGAAAGGAACAGAGATTCCTCTTTGGTAAAGCTGATAGAAATGCACATTGCTGCTGAAGTTCTTATGCCGCTGACGCTTGCGTCAGTGGCTTGCGAACATCTCCAACGAGAAGTTTCGGGAGAATTGCCTTTTGAAGGCGGTTTGATACATTGCAGTTGACAAAGTCGTTTCGTCTATTGGATGTAGTGCGCACAGTAGCTTTGATTTTCACATCTCTCCTTCTGGAGTAGCCAATGTTGCGGGTGATTTGTCCACCAACCTTGCCCATATAGACCATCCGTTGCTGTCTCCTTGCAGGTCCTTGATTGTATTCCTATCCTGAAGGAGCAGGCTGGGTTTCCGGCTTCCCAAGAAGCAAATTTGGATCAGCTGAGGGTGGAATATTTTGCAGCAACCCAGCTACAGTAGATAATTCTATTGATGAATTTGGTTGGGATTCACAAAGTTTTACTAGTCCTGTATTGGCCTGGTCTGGCAAAATCGATGTTGAGCTTTTCGTCCTTTACGAACCGAATTGCGTGCCTCCGATTCATTGGCTGCTTTGCCATGTCTCAGGGATGTATCAGATTTGGCATCATTGGTCTCGGCTGGGGTGGTCTGGTGCGCCCTCCTTGCAGTGCGAAGCCGTGATGTGTCGAGGGTGTAGAGAACCCCTGTGTCTCCCAAGATTGAGGAGCTCCCCAAATCCACGACAAGAAAAATCATTCGAGTCATCTTGAATCGATTTTTGAATACGGGAACCCAGCTAGTTGGGGATGATTGAGGTATCTCCCATTTTTGGGCACTCACCTTTTGTGTCCCATCCTTTGGCCCAAGCTCCAAGTATCACTTTTGGTACGACCTGGCGAAGCCCCTTGGCAGAACCTGTTTCAAGGCTTCAAGTGTGAGCATGTCAAATTACAAAATACTGCAACAACTCCAAAATTGACCGCTTTAGTCAGTGACACAGACTTGGACGTCCGAAGGGGAGGGTTGTTGCCTGGGAGCAACCAGAGCCACAGCCTCCGACACGAAACGCACAGGGATGGTGCAGAAAACCGCCCTGAAGCGTCCCAGTGCTGCGCCTGGAAGCATTGCTTCCAGCTCCTCAAAGTGGACCCCGCAAGGAAGCAAGGAGATGCAGGGCAGAGCTGCAATGACCCAAATGATGCTTTTGTTTCTGAGGTTTTCTGGCCTTGTTTGTGTGTGCCATTTGGATACATACATGTAATATGGTAGGCGCAGATGACACGGGACTTGGCGGTCGATTTAGCCTAGTCTTTTTTGCACATGACATGGTATTTTTTTAAAATACACATGACATGGGAGTTATGCGCTTGCCTAACGGACAGGGATTTTCCAATTTTTTCCCCAACAGCGTAAGCTAATGGGGTCTTCAGCCCAGAATAGCTCCGGTGTGCACTGGTGCAGGCGCCCGGTCAGGTTCAACGAGGTTCCGGAGAAGGTTCCGAAGCTTCCGGAGAAGGTCTGGGAGGCTTTGGTCCAGAGCCAGGTCAGGTTCGGGAGAAGGTTCCGGAGAAGGTTCCGGTGAAGGTCTAGGAGGCTGTGGTGCAGAGCCAGGTCAGGGTCAACTGGGTTTCGGAGAAGGTTCCGGTGAAGGTCTGGGAGGCTTTGGGGCAGAGCCAGGTCAGGTTCAACAGGGTTCCGGAGAAGGTTCCGAAGCTTCCGGAGAAGGTCTGGAAGGCTTTGGTGTAGACTCGTAGACCCAGTCAGGTTCGACAGGGTTCGGGAGAAGGTTCCGGAGAAGCTCTGGGAGGCTTTGGTGTAGAGCCAGGCCAGATTTAACAAGGTTCCCGGAGAAGGTCTGGGCTGGGAGGCTTTGGTGCAGCCAGGTCAGGTTCAACAGGGTTCCGGAGAAGGTTCCAGCGCTTGGCTTCGCAGCACGCTTCAGAAAGATTTGTAACAATAAAACGTTGCGGCTGTTGGGGATACCACCGACGCTTATTTTACACATGACATGGGAAAATTTGAGAAGAATTTTGGGACTTCCAGGAAAAACATCTGCAAACCCTTTTTTTACTCACACGTCGAGCGCTGCTTTGAATTATTCTCAAGAGTGGGGTCGGGAGGGTTTCCGAACGCTCAAAATGAAGCGCGGGGAGCGGTTGGGGCTGTGCATGCGTCCCAAGAATCGGGTGGAAAGGGTTTAGGATGGTTTAGGATGGTTTAGGATGGTTTAGGATGGTTTAGGATGGTTTAGGATGGTTTAGGAAGGATGAAAACGAACCATGAGAAGGAGTTTAGGTTTTTCACAGTTCCCAAGAATGGGAAAGGAAGGGTTTGGAGGCAGTTCAATGCGCAACTCAAAAACAACTTCCTGTTGTTGAGGTGTGTTGGGAAGAGGAATTTACCTTTGGTGAGCTTATTTACACGCGGGGAAGCTTAATTGAGTTTCTTTTGCGCGCGCGCTTGTCCGCACGTGCGCGCGCGCGCGTATGTGTTGACCCGCGCACTCCCATTGCTTGTGCGACTTGCTCGTGCACCTCGCGCAAGCGCGCGCGCGCGCCTGTTTTTGCTCGCGCGTCTCGTGCGCGCACACGTTAAATGCTCGTGCGCTGGCGCTGCGCACCCCGCGGCTGGTGCGGCACCACATATGAGCTCATACGTTTTGAATCAAGCCAATATATCTGTATGATTTTGTTTGGGTGTGTTCTTTGGGTGTGGGCAAATGTGGGGTTTATCTTGGAGAGCCCAAACAACTGCAAAGGTCCTATGTCATTGGAGAGGTTCTGTGTCATGTAATATATATATATTTTTTCCGAAGCACTTTAATGATAACACGGGAGTTATGCATTTTTAATTTTTTTTGGGTATGTCCAACTACTCCCATGTCATCTGCAAGGTAGTATGTTTATGACATGCAATTAATGTGTGTGTAAATACATAAATACATAAATGCACAAGTATATGATATATGTATATAATGTACATCTAATGTATATATAATGAATATATGCAATAAAAACTGTATATAGATATAAACAGTTCATTTATTTTTAAACCATGTATATATAGCACCGCACGATATATATATATACACATAATGTGTATATATATATCTATATGAATATATAATGCATATACAATGAACGCACAACGGGTATATCTATCTATCTATCTATCTATCTATCTATCTATCTATCTATCTATCTATCTATCTATCTATCTATCTATCTATCTATCTATCTATCTATCTATCCATCCTTCTATCTATCTATCTATCTATCTATCTATCTATCTATCTATCTATCTATCTATCTATCTATCTATCTATCTATCTATCTATCTATCTATCTATCTATCTATCTAATCTATCTATCCTATCTATCTATCTATCCTATCTAATCTATCTAATCTATCCAATCTATCCAATCTATCCAATCTATCCAATCTATCCAATCTATCTAATCTATCTAATCTATCTAACCTATCTGACGATGCTCTCTTCTATCTATCTATCTAGCTATCTATCTATCATCTATGCTTGATCCTATCTATCTATCTATCTATCTATCCTATCTAATCTATCTGAGCTATCTATTCTATTCGATCTTAGGCTATCTAGCTATGCTATTATCTATCTATCTATCTTATCGTATGCTATCTATCTATCTATCTCTCTGATTACTTCTATCTATCTATGCTATCCTATCTAATCTATCTATCGTATTATCTTCTAAATCCTATCTAATCTATCTGATCTATCTACACCACATTACATTTATATAAATCGTCCTAGTAGTTACCGCCTCGGCACACGGCGGTGGGCGGAAGTGTCAAAAATAGGAAACCATAGTATGAGGTTGGTTTCGTTAGGTGAATAACGGTATGGCTAGAAGCGAATCGGCACTGATGGACTCGACTCGATTGGTTTTTAAGTTGTGTTTTTTGGAGTGGTTGCAATGGTTGCAGTGGTCACCTTACCACAACTGCTGGATGTAGTGTGGTGTAATGCAGTTGTAGTTGTAGTTGTGGTGTGGTGTAATTAGTGTAGTGTATTGTAGCGTACTGTATTGTATTGTAGTGTACTGTAGTGTTGTGTACTGTAGTGTTGTATAGTGAAGTGTAGTCTAGTGTAGTGTAAGGTAGTGTAGTTGTAGTTGTAGTGTGGTGTAGTGTAATTGGTGTAGCGTTGTGTAATGCAACTTAGTGGTAGTTACACTTGCAACTGTGGTGTGGTGTGGTGTAGTGTAGTGTTGCGCAATGTAGTGTAGCTGTAGTTGCATGCGTATTTGTAGTTGTAGTGTGCTGCAGTGTAATTTGTGTAGTGTAGTGTAATGTAGTGTAGTTGTAGTTGCATTTGTATTTGTAGTTGTAGTGTGCTGCAGCGTAGCTAGTGTAGTGTAGGGTAATTAGATGTAAATAGTGTAGCGTAGTATAGTGTAAATAGTGTAGTGTCATGTAGTGTAATGAGTTTATTTGTATTTGTAGCTGTAGGAGTAGTATGGTGTAGTGGTAGTGGTAGTGGTGGTTGTAGTTGTAGTTGTAGCTGTCTACCTATCTATCTGTCTGTTTGTCTGTCTGCCTGTCTGTCTATCTAATCTATCTATCTAATCTATCTATCCATCTATCTAATCTATCTATCTACCTACCTATCTATCTATCTACCTACCTATCTATCTATCTATCCATCTATCTATCTACCTATCTATCTATTT